CCCCGGCTGGCGGGGGCGGGGAGTCCCCGGGGGATCTTCTGAGCTGGGGTCGGGCACCCCGATGTGCGGGGGTGCGCAGGGTGCTGCAGGCACCCCGGGGTGCTGGGTGGGCTTCGTGGGGTGTTGGGGACCTGCTGAGGGTAGGGGTGTTGTAGAGCACCCAAGGGTGAGGGGACCCAGGGAGCTGGGGGTGCTGCAGGCACCCCAGGGCACTGGGGACCGGCAGGACTGGGGATGCTGGGGGGCACACGGGGTGCTGTGGGGTTTGGGGTGTTCCCTGCGTGCACATGGGGAACCCACCGTGGGGCTGTCCCCAGCACTGTGCGTGTACCCCAGCTGTGTCTGTGCACCCTAGGTGCAAATTTAACTACTTAATCCCCAAACATCTCCTCACAGCAGGGTGATCCCAGGCCCTTGGGGCTCATTGCCAAGCCCGTGTGTCACCAGCCCTGGGGGAATTGGTGAGGTGTTGGTGGAAAACACTGGTGAGCAGCTGTGGTGAGGGTGCAGGACAAGTGGTAGATGTTTTCTAGTGGAGATACAGGAGCCGTGTAAAGCTATAGCTGTGACGGGGTAGGTAGAGCCGATCCCCATGTGAGTACGGACGTACGGACTGTGCGCCTGTTGTTGTTCAGGAGCTGTGTGAGCTCGGGGAGGTTCCTGAGGTGCTGGAGTGGGTGCAGAGCCCGAGCAGCCGCCGCAGCCTCCTGACCAACCAGGCCGACGATGATGACAACTCCAGAAATAACAGCCCAACCCTGAAATTAGGCTGTTGAGAAGACGGAAGCATTTCCATTTCCCTTCCCCTCCTTGGGTCAGCGCCGGTGCACCCACCCGCACAGGATCTGGCTCCTCCATGAGCAGCCCCAGCCTGGACAGCGTGGCCAAGGTGGCCTGGGCGAGCGGGTGGCACGGAGCACGGGCTGTCCCGTACAGCCCCGGGGCAGGAGATGGGGCCGGGGCGGTGTGATGAGCCCTGGACACCTCCCGTCCACACCCCAGCGCCGGCAGGTGACACTGCAGGTGATGGGTACGCGTGACGGCAGGTCTGTGCGAGGACCCCAAATCCCAGCAGGTCGCTGGCAGTGGAGGAAGCCGTGTGCTTGCTCAGTGGTTTCCCTTTAACTTTGGAACAGCCTCAGCCCCGAGCTTCAGCGCTTATCGCCTGTGCGCAGCTTCGAGGGAAGCGTGCCTGGCCGAGATAAATCAAGTCGTGCTGGCCAGGGCTGCTCTGGACTCTGTTCTTCTCACATTCCTCATGACCTCAGTATTTTGGCTCCAGAGGAGAGCTGGGGAGAGCCTCCCTGTGTCCGGTCCCGGCCGTGCCGGTGGAGTGGCTTGGGCTGCACGGTGGTATGTGGCCGAGCCGGGGTGGGGGCTGCCCCACTTGTGCCCCTGGTGAGGGAAAGCACCCAAAAGAGTCCAGAGCTTTAAAAATATTCTCCCAGGCCTATCCCCTGCCACCCCCGGGACCATGAGGCTGGAGCTCCCAGGGGGCTGGGGCCTGGGTATTGCATGGTGCCTGAGATGTGTGGGGTGCCCAGGTTGCCCCATCCCTGACAGGGCTTTTTACTGTAACGGAGTGCAGTGGCTCCAGTTTTGGACCCCAGTTTCCTGTGTTGGCATCAGTACGGCAGCAAGAGGGGAGGTAGAGGTGCGAGCCCAGGGCGAGGGGTAGTGCTGCCTTTGCGGGGACAACCGGGTCCCTGCGTATCCTCCTCCGCATCCTCCTCCTCATCTTCCCCTCGCTGCCCTCCCCAGCCGCGCTTCGATTTGTACCGTCCCGCTTTTCTGTGGAAACACCAGGGCTAGGAACAACGCTCTCCCTTCTTCTGAAGGGAGCTGGGATGGTGTGGGGTGCCCTGCCCCCAGCACCCGAGTGTCCCTATGCCAAGCCCCGACCACACCACACCTCGGTGCCCAGGGGAGCGGCCAAAGCTGCCAAAAATCAGCCTTTGGCACCAAAGTGGCCGACGCGGTCTTCCCTGTGGAGATTTCAGCCCAGGTGGAGAGCGGCTTCCCTTTGAACCAGTGCTGCGGTGACGGCGGCCGGGGACAAGGCTGGCTTTGTGCAGCCCGGTGGCAGGTGCCGGTGGTGGCGGGGCCGTGGGTGTGGGGACTTAACCCTCTCGCCGCTGCTGTGTGCCCTGGCCCTCTGCCTCCATTGCTCGTCCTCGCCGGCTGGAATCCAGCCGGCCGCTCGCCTCGCCGCCCAGCCCTGCGGCAGCCCTGGGGGGACGGGTTGCACATCACGGGGAGCCCCAGGGGGGGTTTGGCACATCACAGGGACCCCTCTGGGGTTGGCACATCACAGAGACCCCAGAAAATTTGCTCATGGTTGGGAGCCCCCAGGTCCCATCACTCGTGCCAGCCCTTTGTTTTGGATCTGGGTGAAGGCAGAAGTTGCTGCCTTGGATCCAGCGGACCCCACTGGGGTTGGCACATCACAGAGACCCCAGAAAATTTGCTCATGGTTGGGAGCCCCCAGGTCCCATAACTCGTGCCAGCCCTTTGTTTTGGCTCTGGGTGAAGGCAGAAGTTGCTGCCTTGGATCCATCCCATCAGGCTGAAAATTAGGGGGCCAAGAGCCAGGGGGGGAGCTGCAGGAGGATCTCCCCCAGCTTTGGGGACGGGCAGCGCAGCCACAGGGTTGACAGCAGCTGCTGGCGTCGGCTGAAGGGACAGGAGAAGGTGGCAGGGGGGACAAGCAGTGTGTCCCTGGGCCCGCAGAGGGGACAGCGGGGCAGCGCTTGCCCCTTTGCCGTCCGGGGGGAGCCGTGGGGGGACCTCCCGGCAGAGGCGGCTTTTCCTGGCGAGGCCCCAGGCAGGACAATACCCGTCGGGGCGGCGGAAGGGAGCTGCTGGCCGCTTCCCCTGAGGAAACGCACCCGCTGGCTCTGGCTCCTGCTGCTCTCCCTCTTCCTCCCATTTGATTTATGGCCTGCGTGGAGCCCGGTGGGAGGTTTGTCCTGGCCCGGGGCCTGTTTAACTACCTGCAGCGAGGGCCATGCAGAGGAGGAAGCCGGCTGCTTCCCGGAGTGGGAGGGATTACACAAGGTGGGGGATGCGTGGACCCTTTGGGGCACAAAGCCTATGGCACAGCAGTGGTGGAGTACCAGCATGGAGATGGGATGTTCCCAGGGGAGGTAGAAGGGGTGCCAGCACAAAGCTGAGATGAATCTTCTCTCCTAGGCTGAGAGAGTTGGGGGGGTTCAGCCTGGACCAGAGAAGGCTACTGGGAGAAGTTGGAGCCCCTTCAAGTCCCTCAAGTGGCTCCAGGAAAGCTGAGGAGGGACTCTGGATGAGGGAGGGGAGCCCTAGGAGGAGGGGGAAGGGTTTGACCCTGCAAGAGGGGAGATGGAGATGAGATGTGGGGAAGAAGTTCTTGGCTGTGAGGGTGGGCAGAGCCTGGCCCAGGTTGCCCAGAGAAGCTGTGGCTGCCCCAGCCCTGGAGGGGTTCAGGGCCAGGTTGGAGGGGGCTTGGAGCAACGTGGTGTGGTGGGAGGTGTCCCTGCCCAGGGCAGGGGGTGGCACTGGGGGGGGCTTTAAGGTCCCTTCCCACCCAAACCATTCCATGATTCTATGATCCCAAGGGAGGTGGAAGTTGGGATGTGCCTCGGCTGTGGATGGGTTGGTAAAGGAGTGGGAGGGCCCCAGGATCCAGCCTGGGGACTGGGGGAAGCATCCCTACCTAGTTAGATTCAGCCTCTCAACCCCATGTGCTGGGGCTGGCTGTGGCAGGCTGCCACATCTCCTGGGTGCCAAGCCTGAGCCTGGCCTGGTGCCACCTGTGCCACAGCTGCTCCTCTGGCTTCTGGTAGTCGTGTGGTCAGGAAAAGCCATGGGCTGGCAACCACAGGCACAGCTGGGGCGGGGGAGCAGCAGGTGGCATCATCATGGGCAGCGGGTGTGAGCCAGGGGCCAGTGTGTCATCCCCAAGCTGGGGTGTGTGATGGGGGCGGCCACAGCACCCCTGCTAGAACGGTCTGGATCCTCCCCTTGTCACGGGCAGGGGATTTGGGGATGGATGTAGGTGTTCTTCTGGTCCTATGCCCTTCTCTGGGCAGTGCTGAGCCCTGCCTTCCCTTAGGGCTGTGTCTGAGCTGCCTTTCCTCTGTGACATGCCTCCTCCACTGCTTTCTTCTGAAAATAACCCAGTGGCAAATGTTTTGCCCACCAACAGCTGTGCAGCCCCATGGCCACCTGCACCCGGGGGCTGGGCCACTGTGTCCCCTCCACGCAGGGACCCCACCGGTCCCTGGAGGGTGATGCCAAGCGCCAGGGCTGTGGGTGCTCCCGGGGTGCAGTTTGCCCCCATCCCAATCCTGTCCAAAAGGCTTCCCACCTGGGCCCTGGCACCCAGATTTTGCCAGATGTTGTGGCAGGTCCCAGCTAAATGCTCACAGCTGGCAGCTCACCCCCCAGCTGTGAACTCACCCTGGATTGCAGCCGCATCCCGCTGGCTCTTCTCCAGCGTGCCCGTGCCTGGCTCTTGGGAAAACCAGGTTCCAATTTCACTCCCCCGTGCCTCCTGCCATGCCTTATCCTGCATTAACGACAAGGAGAAGCAGCCAGGTCCCCTCTGGGGTCTCCATCCCTGAGGTGGAGGTGGGCAGGGCAGGGCACCCTGGTCCTGCTCAGCCTGGACAGTGGGGATGGACATCACACCCAGCGACCGGCGGGTGCTGGCAGTGCCCTGCCGTCACGTGCCTTTGCAAAAGCATCAATTCCCCTTATCCAAAGCAAACTTCTCCACTGAGAATTGCACCCGTAAAGTCTGCAGTGATTTTCTTGTTGTTGGTTTGTTTTTTTTTTCGTTTTTTTCTTTTCCCCCCAGCCTGCTTCCCCGGTGTGGCTCTGTGAGCTCTGACTCATGACTGCACCCTCGGAGCTGGCAGCGTGACCGCCGCGGCCCCCCCGGCCCAGGCTGCGAAGCATTCCTTAAATGTACAAACACTGCCCGGCCCCGCCAGCAGCAGCGCAGCCAGCTCCGGCCTCAGCCCCACTGCACCAGGGCTGGGGCAGGCGAGGGGGCCGGGCAGATGGCGGGGGGTGGCCGTGGGGGGCTCACCAGCCCCCCGTCTGGAGGGTTTCACCAGCCGTGGCCTTGTTGTTGTTGCAGGTTGATGGTCCCCTGGTCGGCAGCATCCTGGGGAGAAGATGGCTCAGCCTGCACCCCTGAACCAGAACCTCCCAGGTAAAGGGACCGGGGCTGTCACCGGGCAGGGACAGCGGGTGGAGCACGAGGGGGGTGGCAGCGCTGAGCTGTTCCGTCCCATCCCGTCCCCATGGGTTTCCTCACCCCAGCACCGACCTGACACTTGGCAGCCCTGAGGGTGCTGGGGACAGATCATCTGCTGGGCCCACTGCCAGCAGCATCACGGTGGGGAGGGGGGCTGCAGGCTGTAAATCCCAGTATAACCCAGTTGGAAAAGCCTTCCTGTCTCCACCAGGTCCCTTCCTGACTGTCCCTACCCCTCTTGCAGATCTCGGGGGCCCATTCTTGTACCGGGACCAGGACGATGGGGAGAAGAGCTCGTATTCAGTGGAAACCCCCTATGGCTTCCTCCTGGACCTGGATTTCCTGAAATACGTCGATGACATTGAAAGTGGCCAAACGCTCAAGAAAGTCCCGCTGCCTCGCAGGGCAAAAGGGGCCCGGCAGCCACCCAGTGCCCTGCGCAGCCCCAGCAGCCATACCAGCACCTGGACCTCCACCGAGTCCCTCACCTCCATGGCCAGTGAGGATGGCAGGACCGCGCTGCTGCTGTCCCCGCACAGCCGGGCACCCCTGGACCCCCCGAGCAAGCCAACTTCCCATCCCGTCTCACCACCGCCACCGCTGCGGCTGCTCCCAATCCCCACCCGCAAGTGCCTCGTGCGAAACCCACGGGTGGAGAAGACCTTGCTGGAGACGAGCAGGAGGCTGGAGGAGGAGCAGGGCCATTTGCAGGGTATGGGTGGTCTCTCCCACGGTGGCCCGCCGGGTGCCCTGAGTCAGGTGTCCCAGTGTGGGCCGGTGGGCACTGAGGGCCATGTGGGCTGGGGACGGGTGAGCCCGGGCAGCTCGGGGCGCAGCACGCCGGCAGCGGGGCTCAGCGCTGCCCCACTGCAGCACGTGCGGGAGCAGATGGCCGCAGCCCTGCGGCAGCTCCGGGACCTGGAGGAGCAGGTGAAAACCATCCCCCTCCTGGAGATGCAGATCTGCGAGCTGAAGAGGGAGAAGGCAAAGCTGATGGAGAAGCTGTCGGCAGAGCCCGGTGAGGCTTTCGGTCACCCCCCTGGCTCTGAGGCAGCGGCAGGGGGTGAGGAGCCACCCCAAGCAGGGCTGGAGAGCGAAGCAGAACCAGTAAAGGGCCGAGCAAGCAAGATCGTGGAGCTGAGGAAGCTGACGGAGAAGCTGGCCGTGGCGGAGCGGGGCAGCAGGGCTGGGCCAGGCAGGAGCCCCAGGGCTGTCGAGAGGCCGTGCCGCTCCGTGGCAGTGGGTGAGGACCGGGCCATGACTGATGCCGTCTTCTACTACCGGTCGCAGCAGGAGGGCGGCGATGTCCCGGATGGTGGGGTGAGGGAGCGCAGGGACGCGGCCGTCTGGGTGCTGGAGTCCTCGCTGGGGGTGGCCAGCGAGGCAGAGCGGGAGCTGGAGCTGCTGCAGCAGACAGTGGGGCACCAGAAGGAGGTGATCGTCATGATGGAGGGGCACCTGCAGGAGGCCACGCGGGAGCTGGAGGAGCTGCGGCTGGAGGTGTGCGCCCGCCGGCCCCGCGGGCGGGTGGACAAGGAGGTGATGGCCAAGCCGCAGGTGGCTGAGGCAGTGGTGGAAGCAGCGGTGGTGACACAGAGCCGGGGGGCTGGTGACCCCCCGGAGACAGCAGAGGCTGGCGTGGAGTGCTGCCCCCGCACCACCTGCGTCGGGGTGGGCTGCCGCCCCGACCGGAGGGATGTGGCCGTCGGCCCCGATTCAGGCACCGGGTGTGAAGACAGAGGCAGCCAGACCGAGGTGGGCAGTGCTGCCCTGGCGGGCAAGGAGATGAAGCCTGGTGTGGATGATGCCCCGAGCAGCCCCTCGGCACAGGGCACAGGATCAACGGGGCGGACGTGCCAGGGCAGCCCAGCCTCCAGGGCAGCAGCCCCAGAGGTGACGCACAGCAGCCAGGACCTGTCCCCGGCACAGGATGGCGGAGCTGCACAGAGCCCTGTGGCTGGTGAGTTGGCTCCGGGAATGACACCAGGGTCTGAGCTGGGACATTCCTGCAGGGAGAGGCTGTTGGGGACAGCACCTGCAGGGCCAACTCTACCTTTGTCATAGCAGCTGCCAGCACTCTACCCATGTCCCTCCCATGCCCACCCTGGGGTCTAGGGGGTTTGGGGTGCCCAGGTGAGGAGGTTCCAGCTCGCTGTCTCCTGACACCCATCTCTCTGCCCTTAGGAGCCCTGAAGTCCATCATGAAGAAGCGGGACGGTCCCCCCCGGAGTGAGGCCGAGGGCAGCAAGAAGAGCCTGCAGTTTGTGGGCGTGCTGAACGGGGAGTACGTGCACCCCTATGGGCCAGCCCCAGCCCCCAGCATCCCCCTCCTGGGCTGGGGGCAGTAGCAATGGGGGGTCTGGAGGGGACCAGCTGGGTGCCATGTTGCCACTGAGCATCCTCCCTCTGTGCAGGTACGAGAGCACATCCAGCGAGGAGGAGGAGGAGGAGGAAGGAGACAGCTCCTCCGAGAAGGCTTCAGCTGACAGCTCCGACAGCGAGGAGCCGGGGGACAGCGAAACCTCAGATGAGGAGGCCGGGGAAGGCGAGAGCGAGCCAGGACAGGAGGATGAGGGGGCCAGTGTGACCCTGCCAGAGCCCCCCGAGGTGAAGGAGAAGTAAGTGTCGCTGGGGAAGGCTCTGTCACTCCACACAGCTGGGAGCCATGGGCTGGCACCAGCCCTGCTCACTCAGGGTGTCCGCCCAAGTTTCGGTGCACCCAATGGGAAAAAAAAACATTGAGTTCCTGCAGAAACCATTTGGCAGGAAAAAAAATTCTTCCAGGTTCTTGGGTCTGCTAAGGAAAGGATGAGACTGAGGCCCCAGACGCCTCTTTGCTGGAGAAGAGAGTTTGGAAGGGAAAAAAAGAAACCCAACAGCCCTTAATGGCATTTTTCAACAAAAGGAAAAAATTTGGCCTAAAAATGGATAAATTATGCCTGAGCATGTCCGTATAAGGCTCGGTTCAGCAGGGGTTTGCAGAGGCTGAAGCTGCCAGGGTGCAACCACCAGGCTGGATGCTGTGCCATGGCGGGGCTCATGGAGGCTCCCAGCCACCAGGGAGAGGAGCAGAACCCCCGTGGGGGCACTCGGGGTGCCCCCTGCCAGCGTGGCACAGGTGGGGTGACGCAGCCCCACACTGCAGATGCCCCTGTGCTCTCCCCAGGTTCGAGCTGAGCCCCAGGATGCGGGAGGCCTGCCTCATCGTCAAGACCCACCTGGGCCACCCCGGGGCCACCAAGAGCAAAGAGGTGGTGAGTTGGGTGCCGCGGGTGGGACGGCTGGTCTGGCCCCTGCTGGGGTCCCCCCGGGGGGCTGGCCCTCCCCAAAGATGGGCCAGCAAAGCTCGGCTCAGCGCCTTCCCCCAAAATCCCCCCTTTGCTCCAGGCTTTGTCCCATATGCCCCAAAACCCATGTGGCCTCAGCTTGGGCCATCCAAGCATGGTTTTTGGGGTTCAGGGTCCTGCCTTCACACAGTCCCCTCTGGAGCAGGGTGGGTGCAGGGGGTCGTGCAGGGCTGTGCAGAGGGTCGGGGGGAGCCGTGGCCCCCCAGCTCAGCACCACTCGCTGCCCACAGCTCGCCAGCAACAGCCTGGTCCTGCAGGAGTGGTTCCGTCTGTCCAGCCAGAAGTTGTCTGTCCCCGACATGGTCGCCAACCACCTCCTGGCCTTTGCCGAGATCTCACCAGCTCTCCTGGCCCACGTGGTGAACCTGGCAGACGGGAACGGCAACACAGCCCTGCACTACAGCGTCTCCCACTCCAACTTCCACATCGTGCGGCTGCTGCTGGACACGGGTCAGTGCTCCCCACCCCCGGGAACGTCCCCCTCTACTCCGGGTCACATCCCAGCCATGCTGAGTATGGGGGGAAGGTGCTGGCAGTGGAGAGGCAGGGAGAGCTGCCCTGGGCTGGGGGAGGAGGGTTGGGCAGCCACCTCAGCCCTTTGGAAGCCCAGATTTGACGAGGGGACACCCATCAGCAGGTCTGTGCCTGTGGGGCTGTGGGACAGCTCGCAGCTCCCTGAGCAGGGTGAGTGCCAGGCACATGGCCTGGTCTGTGCCCCGCATCATCCCCGCAGCACCTCAAGCCCCCCCACTGTGCCCATCCCTGCAGGGGTCTGTAACGTGGACCACCAGAACAAAGCCGGCTACACAGCCCTCATGCTGGCAGCGCTGGCAGCCGTCGAGCAGGAAGATGACATGAACGTGGTGAGGAGGCTCTTCAGCATGGGCAATGTCAACGCCAAGGCCAGCCAGGTTGGTGTGGGTTGGGGGGCCATCACATCCTGACCCTCTACCCCCACCCTCAAGACACTGCCAGGGCCACACTCGGCTCCTCCAAGGGCAGGACTGTGGCTCCAAAGCCTGGAAGAGCCGGCACATGGGGAGGGCATCAAATTAGGAGCTCCTTCTGCCTGGCATCAGAGCTCTCAAGGTCTCACCCACCCCTCATCTCCAGCCAGGGAGGTGCTCAGAGACCGTGTGGGCACTGGGGATGGTGGTGGGAAGAGCGAGTGGCATAGCCTGGGCAGGAGCAGCCTGGGCAGGAGCAGCCTGGCAGTGTCCCTTGCCTTGCAGGCTGGCCAGACGGCGCTGATGCTGGCCGTCAGCCACGGCCGGCAGGAGATGGTGGAAGCCCTGCTCGCCTGCGGAGCCGACGTGAACCTGCAGGACGAGGAGGGCTCGACTGCACTGATGTGTGCCTGCGAGCACGGCCGCGTGGAGACGGTGAAGCTGCTGCTGGCTCAGCCCACCTGCAACATCTCCATCGTGGACAACGTAAGCCTCTGCCGCGGGGGCCTGGGCACACTCGCTCACCCTGTGTCCTGTCCCCAAACCTCTTCCCAGCTGCTCTCCTTTCCTTTCTAGGATGGCAACAATGCTGTTGCCATTGCACTGGAGGCCGGTCACAGCAACATCGCCGTGCTCCTCTACGCCCACCTCAACGGCACGAAGGCGCAGCTGCCCGTGAGTACCACAGCCCCCTCAGCTCTGCCACGTCCCACCCATGGGCCACAGAGGCGGCACCGTGCCACCGGCTCAGCCACACAGTGGGCAGGTGGCCCTGTAGGAGGGGACCGGGCAGTGACAGAGATGATGCTCCCCAGGAAGGGGATGCAGGGGGGAGAGTGGAGTGTCCCGGGTGCCACAGGCTCGGTCCATCCTCAGCAGCAGGGTCCCAACCTGGCTGGCCCTGACCAGGAGTCACTGCTGACATTTGGTGACTGCTCTTTCTGCAGCAGGGGACATCACCGACAGCCACGAAGAGCCCTGGGAGCCCAAAGAAACCAAATTAGAGTGACCTTCGGATCCAGCTAGGGGCCAGCTGTGTGCCACCATCAGCGCTAGGCTGCAATTCACATCCCCTCTCCTGTTGCTCCCCTGCGTGCTGAATCGCTCTCTGTGGCTGCAGATGCTTTAATCCTCCTGTCACCAGAGCAGGTGGTGTCCCAGGGCCTCACTCGCCCATCTCCACTGCTGGAAGCCCACACATAGCCACCTTGCTCCGCTGTAGGTGACAGAGGAGCCAAGCATCAAGTGACCTTGGGGTGGGAGATGCAGCGGGTAGAAGCCGTCCCTGTCCCCTCTGCTTCCCCCACCAACCACTGGAGCTGCGCCACCTCGGAGCCCCCTGCAAGTCGCAAACTCACTGCAACAGCAGAAAAGACCCAGGACCTGGTTTCTGCTCTCTCAGGCAGCTGCTGGGGCAAGCAGGGCCGGGGGAGGGTGAGCAGCAGCTCGTGGATCCTGCTGTGCCAGCAGGGAAACGGTGCTCAGGGACAAACCAGCTGTTTAATGCTGCCTTGGGCTGGGAGCGCTTCCAGACTGAAGTACTTGCCCTTCTTTTGTGGCATTTCCTTTCCTGGCTGAAATCGGAATTGTTTCTAGCACATGCACACAAAGCAAAAAAAAAAAAAATTATATTGCTTATTCAAATGATGGGAGTTCAACATGAAATCACTCGGTGGTTTGATGTGCTCAATGGGAACAAAACCCCTGGGCACTCGGGGCTGCAGCCAAGCTGACAGAAGGGGGCCAAGAGCCATGGACGCATTTAGGGACTGAGACAGCCCAGCCTATACCCGCCACGGGGAGCAGGAACCTCCTCCCGAGGGAAAGAGAGCAACCACCTCCTAAACTTTTCCCATTTTAAACAGCCTCACAGCCACTGACTGGGAAGGCGACCAGAGCCCACAGCTGAGTCCCTCTCTGCCTGCTTTCCTTCCCAAAAGGGAGGAGTAGCACAGCTGAGGAGCACTCCAGGAAAAAAAGACCAACAAGAAGAGCTGAGAGCGAGCCTGAGGGCCCTTGGAGATGGCCATGTATGTTGGAGCACGTGTGTGCATCTGTGCAAGTGTGTGTGCACCGGGTGGGGACAGACACGGTAAGGACTAAGGACCAGGAGGAAGAAGAAGAAGAGGCTGTTGCATGCGAAGCAGGCTCTGCTCTCCAAATCCTTCACAAAGGTATCATGTGTGGCAGCCCCCGTTTCTGCTCCTTGGCCCAGCTGCCCCCCTGCCCACCAGGCCTGGTCTGAGCCACGCTGGCAGCTGGGAAATGCCCCCCAGGGAACTTGTTCTGGGCAACACACTGCTGTCCTCACAGTGGGCCCCTTTCAGCTTCGCACTGAAGTTAACATGATGCTCACTGCCACTCTCTAGCACACTGCTCTGTATGTATTCCCTACTCACTGCTTTGGTTTCACAAGTTTGTTTACTGATATTTTAATACTGATGTTTATTTTTAAGATATAAATAAAACTTTAAGGAAAATTATTTTGAAATATTACAGTGACCATCAGCATTCTCCTGCCTCCTTGTCTGGCTCAAGCTAAAAACCACAGAGCAGCTGCAGCCGAGGGACAGCCTGGCACAGCCCATGCCCTAAACACTTGCCCACACGTTTCAATTCACTCCCTGCAAGTTAATGAACTGGCTGCATCCATCAGTCTGGTTTCTTCCAGCTGAACTGTCCCAGTCAGGAACCTGACTTGGGTACCATGGTGTCTTCTGGCCTGTTTCACTCCACAGCACCAAGCAGGATGCTGGGACCAGACGTAGCCCTTTGCTGGTATCAAGCTGCATTATTAAAGGAAAACCATCAGATGGAGAGTGGGGATGCAAAGTCACCTCCCTCTCCTCACGTGGCCAAGCGCCACGCTGACCCCACAAGGATATCGTGGAAGGGCTACAGCTGCTCTGAGCTGCCCCCACCACCTGCCTGGCCACCAGCTCACAGCCAGTGCCTCCTGTCACAGTCACTCAACACAGTCAGGGCTGGCAGCTGCCAGAGCCAATGCTCTTAGGTTATTGCTAAATCTGTGCGGGGAACTAACAACAGCCAGAGAATTAAACTCCAAGGTGGACTTCTTGCGCTCATAGCTAGTTCCCGAGAGCTCTGTTGTGTCACAGGAATTAGGGGAGTGCAGACTCCCCCGATGGTCCAATACTGAACCACCACTAAGGAAGAATCAAGAAACAGCACGAGCACGTATTGACAAGGGCGTTCTCTAGAGTACAAAATGCACCTCAGGCCACCCAGGAGCTGACCAGGTTACAGCTAACACCTGCAGAAAGGAAAAAAACTACCCAAACACTCTTTCAACCCCAACCCTGGCAGCAATACTCACTATTGGCCCAAGGTTCAGCAATTTGAACATCTGTTCCAGTAGTGCTCTCCTCAGCTTTAGGGTACTCAAACCCTCAGTGCCACCTGCTACTAAAGCACCTTAATGAAGGGAAGGTCACTGAAAGATGAACACTCCCAGAGACCAGAGGATCAGGAGCCGCAGACCCAGTATCACTCTATTACCAGATGGAAAAGAACTGTACCGGTAAGGACTAAGGACCAGGAGGAAGAAGAAGAAGAGGCTGTTGCATGCGAAGCAGGCTCTGCTCTCCAAATCCTTCACAAAGGTATCATGTGTGGCAGCCCCCGTTTCTGCTCCTTGGCCCAGCTGCCCCCCTGCCCACCAGGCCTGGTCTGAGCCACGCTGGCAGCTGGGAAATGCCCCCCAGGGAACTTGTTCTGGGCAACACACTGCTGTCCTCGCAGTGGGCCCCTTTCAGCTTCGCACTGAAGTTAACACGATGCTCACTGCCACTCTCTAGCACACTGCTCTGTATGTATTCCCTACTCACTGCTTTGGTTTCACAAGTTTGTTTACTGATATTTTAATACTGATGTTTATTTTTAAGATATAAATAAAACTTTAAGGAAAATTATTTTGAAATATTACAGTGACCATCAGCATTCTCCTGCCTCCTTGTCTGGCTCAAGCTAAAAACCACAGAGCAGCTGCAGCCGAGGGACAGCCTGGCACAGCCCATGCCCTAAACACTTGCCCACACGTTTCAATTCACTCCCTGCAAGTTAATGAACTGGCTGCATCCATCAGTCTGGTTTCTTCCAGCTGAACTGTCCCAGTCAGGAACCTGACTTGGGTACCATGGTGTCTTCTGGCCTGTTTCACTCCACAGCACCAAGCAGGATGCTGGGACCAGACGTAGCCCTTTGCTGGTATCAAGCTGCATTATTAAAGGAAAACCATCAGATGGAGAGTGGGGATGCAAAGTCACCTCCCTCTCCTCACGTGGCCAAGCGCCACGCTGACCCCACAAGGATATCGTGGAAGGGCTACAGCTGCTCTGAGCTGCCCCCACCACCTGCCTGGCCACCAGCTCACAGCCAGTGCCTCCTGTCACAGTCACTCAACACAGTCAGGGCTGGCAGCTGCCAGAGCCAATGCTCTTAGGTTATTGCTAAATCTGTGCGGGGAACTAACAACAGCCAGAGAATTAAACTCCAAGGTGGACTTCTTGCGCTCATAGCTAGTTCCCGAGAGCTCTGTTGTGTCACAGGAATTAGGGGAGTGCAGACTCCCCCGATGGTCCAATACTGAACCACCACTAAGGAAGAATCAAGAAACAGCACGAGCACGTATTGACAAGGGCGTTCTCTAGAGTACAAAATGCACCTCAGGCCACCCAGGAGCTGACCAGGTTACAGCTAACACCTGCAGAAAGGAAAAAAACTACCCAAACACTCTTTCAACCCCAACCCTGGCAGCAATACTCACTATTGGCCCAAGGTTCAGCAATTTGAACATCTGTTCCAGTAGTGCTCTCCTCAGCTTTAGGGTACTCAAACCCTCAGTGCCACCTGCTACTAAAGCACCTTAATGAAGGGAAGGTCACTGAAAGATGAACACTCCCAGAGACCAGAGGATCAGGAGCCGCAGACCCAGTATCACTCTATTACCAGATGGAAAAGAACTGTACGTAAAAAACAGCCCTTGAACTGTGACTTTTTTTCAGCTCATTCCTAATCTTTTCCAGTGAGTTGTGTGGCAGAAGGGGACCCTGAGTAAGAAAATAAGTGAGACTGATTTATTAACTCCTCTAAGAAATAGTGATAAGCACTCACTCTCTATGGGTGACTGCCAGGAAGGACAGCAAGTAAGTGTATTTATAGAATAGCTTACTGAGGACAGGAAGGCAGAAGCAGTGGCTGTTGCTTTGCAAGCTGGTACAAAACTTGGCTTTCAACTTGTAATTACATTCCACAGAAGTCCAGTTAAGTTTCACACTGCTGCTTTACTGGTTACATACAGAAAGATGCTTACCAAAAAGGGCAGGATTAAAGCTGCTGTAATGAAAACAGAGTTGCTTTTGTTGTGACAGGTTAGTAAAAATGCAAGGACACAGTAATATTTCAATGAAGGCATTACATGTAGCCCCAGTAAGAAGCAGGGTGTGCTTCTGTCCCTCTGCTGAACCTAACAAGAGGCAGGTGCTAAGGGCTGTGACAGACTCACATGTTCAATGAGGAAGGCCCAGGCAAGGGACTACTGAAAAACCCTTTATTGCAGCAAGGCCACTGCCACGCTCCTCTCCATCCACAGCCCGTGCCTGGCCGGGCAGATGCCAGCCGGCCGTAAGGCTCCACCACCCGGAGGAGGACGGCGGAGGCCGAGCCCGGGGCTCACCGGCTCAGCGCAGCCGCCGGGCCTCCCGCTCCGACTCCAGCAGGGTGAGGACATCACCTTCCCGCACCGGCCCCTTCACGTTGCGGATGATGGAGCGGCTGGTGTCATCCATGAACTCCACACGCACCTGCAGGGCGAGACAGCATCAGCCTGTTGTCTTACATCTATGTTCTTTTATCCCAGTGTGCAAGAAGCCAATATTCACACAGAGGTGAGATATTTATCTCATTTCTGTGCAGAGATAGGTGCAGATGGTTCATCCACAAGGCTCATACGTCACAGGCTGGCACACAGTAAGCATTTGTACCTTCTGAGTAAGCAAATCAACATTTATCAGTTATTTCCCACAGCTGTGCACAGCTGTCCAACCCACTCCAGGTGACCCTGCTTTGACAGGGGATTGGTATCTCCAAAGGTCCCCTCCAACCTCTACCATTCTGTGATTCCCACTGGTTCTTACTGTGCTTCATTTTTACCTAAAGCCACAGCATTCTCTCTTTTCACTATACACAGTCCATGAGAAGCCTTTTGCTAGCAGGGGTCTCTCCCTACCCGAGCACGGGTGCTTTACTCTGTTCATTAGGACAACTCACTCATAGTTAAAGTGACTTCTTCTATAGTATTGTTAACAGTTCTGTTCCCCTTCAGCTTATCTCAGTATTCCTTTAGTATGGCTAATTCACAGTACGGAATCACAGAATTGTCAGAGTTAGAAGGGACCTCTAGAGATCATCTAGTCCAATTCCCCAGCTAAAGCAGGGCTGCCCAGAGCACATAATTCAGGAGCATCCAGGCGGGGCTTGAAGAACTCCAGAGAAGGGGACTCTACACCCTCCCTGGGCAGCCTCTTCCAGGGCTCTGCCACCCTCACCAGAAATAAGTTTTTCCTTGTATTTGAATGGAACTTCCCATGTTCCAGCTTGTGCCCGTTGCCCCTCGTCCTATCGCGGGAAACCACTGAAAGGAGTCTGTCTCCATCCTCCTTCAACCCCCCCTTTAGGTACTTGTAAACATAGATAAGGTCTCCCCTCAGCCTTCCCTTCTCCAGGCTAAAGAGCCCCAGGTCTTTGAGCCTTTCCTTGTAAGGCAGGTGCTCCAATCCCTCCATCATCTTTGTTGCCCTACATTGGACTCTCTCCATCAGTTCCCTGTCCCTCTTGAACTGGGGAGCCCAGAACTGGACGCAATATTCCAGTTGTGGCCTCACCAGCGCAGAGTAGAGCAGAAGAATGACCTCCCTCGACCCACTGACCACACTCTTCCCCACGCAGCCCAGTACTCTCTTGGTTCTTTCTCTAGGCCCCCATCCCGCTAACAATTTACAGCGATAATTACGCCCTCTGCCTCTGGTACCCCTCCAACATGGCGGCCGCGCTCCCGCCCGCCCCGCTCACCTGCGTGCACTGCCCTTGCGAGCCGGTCCGGCCCAGTACCTTGGTCACCTGCGGGAACAGAGAAGAGGATAAATCACGGTCCCGCGGTCCCAGCGACCTCCCTTCTCCGGTCCCAGTGTCCCCTCTCCGGTCCCTACCCTGGCCAGCTTGATGGGCTGCACGCGGCTGGTGTCCATGGCGGCGGCGGGGAACGAAAGGGGCGTGGCTTCCTCCCTCCGCTTTATATACGGCGCCCAAATCTCGCGAGAACCAGCTCGGGCGCTGCTGACGAGAGCCTCCAAATCTCGCGAGAAGCAACCCCGCTCCCGGCAGCCCCCGCGCCTGCGTGTCCCTGCCCTTCATAGCGGCCAAGATGGCGACGGCCACTCGCATCATCCAGCGATTCCGCAACTTCTTAGCAGGGGTAAGAGCAGCGCCGGCCGTGGCGTCCGTCCTTTGCTTCGCCGAGTTTATCGGGCGCTGCGCGACTCCTGTCGGCCGCTGCCCGGCGCCGGCGGGGTTCGCGCAGCGCCTAGCATCGCCTGAGACGCTCTCGCCTTGCCTTGCAGAGAAACCTCCAGGCCAAGCTGGCGCTGCGCTACGACGAGATCTCCAAGAGGTACTGTGGAGCGGGTAGGGCTGGGAGGTTTCCAGTCGCCGGCCGTCACTGACGTTCTCGGACCCGTTCTTGTCTAGAACTCAGCCGCCACCTCGGCTCCCGGTGGGCCCCAGCCATAAGTTCGCTAACAACTATTACTGCAGCCGGGATGGCCGACGAGAGGCGCTCCCGCCCATAGTGGTCGCGGGTGGGCAGAAGACCATCGCTGCAGGGGCTCAAGCTGGCAGGTGGGTCTGAGCTGGCACTCTTCAACCTGAGTGGATTTAAGGCTTGTGGGGCCAAGTGTAAGGTCCTGCTCATGGGTTGGGGTAATCCCAGACACAGCCCCAGGCTGGGTGGAGAATGGCTGGAGAGCAGCCCTGAGGAGAAGGACTTGGGTTGTCAGTGAGTGAGAAGCTCCACACGTCCCTCAACGTGCGCTAGCAGCCCAGAAACCCCCTGCACCCCTGGGCTGCATCCCCAGCAGCGTGGCCAGCAGGGCCAGGGGGGGATTCTGCCCCTCTGCTCCGCTCTGGGGAGACACCCCCCAGTGCTGCCTCCAGCTCTGGGGCCACCACCAGCAGAAGGACATGGAGCTGTTGGAGCGGGGCCAGAGGAGGCCCCGGAGATGCTGGGAGGGCTGGAGCCCCTCTGCTGGGAGGGGGGGTTGAGAGAGTTGGGGGGGTTCAGCCTGGAGAAGAGAAGGCTTGAGGGAGCCCTTATTGTGGCGTTTCAGTACTTAAAGGGGGCTTATAAGAAAGATGGGGACAGACTTCTAGTAGGGTCTGTTGCAATAGGACAAAGGGTAATGGCTTGAAACTAAAAGAAGGAAGATTCAGACTAGATCTGGGGAAGAAGTTCTTTGGTGTGAGGGTGGTGAGAGCCTGGCCCAGGTTGGCCAGAGAAGCTGTGGCTGCCCCATCCCTGGAGGGGTTCAAGGGCAGGTTGGAGGGGGCTTGGAGCAGCCTGGTGTGGTGGGAGGTGTCCCTGCCCAGGGCAGGGGGTGGCACTCAATTATTTTTAAGATCCCAGGTCCCTTTCAACCCAAACTATTTGATGATTCTACTGTACGGTGCTTGACTTGGCAGTGTTAGGTTAACAGTTTGACTCAATCTTAAACATCTTTTCAACCTAAATAGTTCTATGACTCTGTGGTGATATCTGTACTCCTGACTAAATTGGAGGCTCGTTTTCATGGTGTTACTAAAGCCTTTTCTATCTCTACCCCAGCTCAGGCTCTGCAGTGACAACAGCTGAGAAAAAGCCAGTGACGCCAGGACCAGTACTTAAGAAATGGGAAATTTCAAAAGACCAGCCCTACTTGTGAGAAATAAACATGATGAGCCGGGATGTGTAGGTCAAAGTTCATTACACAGCATAACTCCAATCAGGAGGCCTGTTGCAGATTTTGCTGTGTGGAACTTGTCCTAGTGCTGCTGATGCATAACTAATAAATATATTTAAAGCTTTGACTATTCCCCACACTACCATTTTGTTTGTTTGATTTGAATTACCCATATTAACTGCTCCTTAATGTTGTTTTGTGTGTAAGGTTTTCTTGAGGGAGTAGCAATCAGGGCAATCCCAGACACAACCCCAGGCTGAGCTGGAGAGCAGCCCGGATGGAGAAGGACTTGAGTTGTCGGTGGGTGAGAAGCTCCACACGCCCCTCAACGTGCGCTGGCAGCCCAGAAACCCCCCACCCCTGGGCTGCATCCCCAGCAGTGTGGCCAGCAGGGCCAGGGGGGGATTCTGCCCCTCTGCTCCGCTCTGGGGAGACACCCCCCCAGTGCTGCCTCCAGCTCTGGGGCCACCACCAGCAGAAGGACATGGAGCTGTTGGAGCGGGGCCAGAGGAGGCCCCGGAGATGCTGGGAGGGCTGGAGCCCCTCTGCTGGGAGGGGGGGCTGAGAGAGTTGGGGGGATTCAGCCTGGAGAAGGGAGACCTTCCAGTCCCTCAAAAGGCTCCAGGAAAGCTGGGGAGGGACTCTGGATGAGGGAGGGGAGCCCTAGGAGGAGGGGGAAGGGTTGGACCCTGCAAGAGGGGAGATAGAGCTGAGCTGTGGGGAAGAACTTGTTTGGTGTGAGGGTGGGGAGAGCCTGGCCCAGGTTGGGCAGAGAAGCTGTGGCTGCCCCATCCCTGGAGGGGTTCAAGGGCAGGTTGGAGGGGGCTTGGAGCACCCTGGTGTGGTGGGAGGTGTCCCTGCCCAGGGCAGGGGTGGCACTGGGGGGGCTTTAAGGTCCCTTCCCCCCCAGTCTGTGGTTCCCAATAGAACACGGCAGGTGTGTTTGCGCTGAGGGGACAGTGGGTTCGTGACCCGACCCTCTGTGAGTCCATGTCAGGTGAGACCCAGGAACACACCTGAGGCCTCACCTCAGGGCACACCCCACCCATGGGGTGCCGGTGCTGGCGCTTCGCGGGGGGGGGGGGGGGCCCGGCCCTGCCCTGCGTGAGTCCATGTCAGGTGAGACCCAGGAACACACCTGAGGACTCACCTCAGGGCACACCCCACCCATGGGGTGCCGGTGCTGGCGCTTCGCGGGGGGGGGGGGTGTCCCAGCTCTGCCCTGCTGCAGCGGCGCTTTCCCGGTGACAGCGGGTGGGCGGGGCCCACGCTGCGCTCTTGACTTCTCGGTGAGCCGGTGCCGAGCGCGGCCGGTCCCCGGCGGCGGCCGTTCCCCCGCTGTCTCAAGGGCAGAACCGGGGCGGGGGGGGAGGCCGGACCGCGCCGGGGGCCGCCCCCAGGCCGGGCGAGGGGGGGCGTGGCCTCCTGGTGGGCACGCGCCCACCCCAGCGGGCGTCCCATTGGTGCGGAGCGTACCCGTGCGCATGCGCCCCACCAGCGCGCGCCCCGCTTATAGGAGCGCGGCGGGTGCCGCAGGCGGGTCGCGGTATGGCGAGGCCGCTGCCGCCGCTGTTCCTCCTCCTGGTGTTCCCGCTCCCGGCGCTGCTGCTGCTCCCGCCGCCTCCGCCAGAGAACGGTGAGTGGGGGGTGGGGCCGGCCGCGCGCCTATTGGTTCCCCGCGCACGCCCTTGGCTCTTATTGGAGGGCGCCTCTCCCGCCCCGCGCTCGTGCTCCCTCAGGGGTGATGGGGGGGGGGAGGGCGGCGCGGATCTCCCTCACCCTCCCGCCCCGCAGCTCTCAGGCCCCACTGCCCCCCGGGCCGCTTCCAGTGCCGGCCCGGCGACCCCTGCTTCCCCGAGGAATGGCGCTGCGACGGGCACCCCGACTGCCAGGACGAGGGGGATGAGCTGGGCTGCGGGACGGCGACACCGGACGGCGCCTGGGTGACCGCGCCGCGGAGCTCGGAGGTGCCACCCGCCGGCGCCGCAGGTACGGGGGGTGCGGGAGGCGAACCGGGCTGAAGCCTTTCATACCGGTCGCTTTTAGTCCCGTCGCGACTTGCGGAGGGAGCGCGGTGGGGTCAGCCTCTCCGAGCTCCCTCCTGCTGTTCCTTCGGAAGCGCCTGCGGAGCGGTTTCCTCCAGCACATGCCGCTCTGGCTGCTTCCTCCCAACGAGCCGGCGACACCGGAGCCTCTCTTCCCCCCCCCCCCCCCCGGAGAAGCTGAAGGGGGAAGGATGAGGGGGAGCTCCCGGGCCGTGTGGAGCAGCAGACGCTGGTACCTGGGGGGCTGGTGGGGTGCGTCTGTGTTACCCCAGCGCTGCTGGTGTCCGCTGCCCTGCTCTGAGGGGCTCTGGGGTGTCCCCTGGCCCGTGAGGCGCTTGAAAGCGCGGTTCCAGCCTCCCTTACCCTGGGTCTCTGGCGGCTGGGAGCTGGGGCACCGCGGCTGTGGGGCACAGGGGGTTACTGCAGGTGGGAGAGGCTCTGAGGCTGGATTTGGTGCCTGCTGAGGAGATGAGCTGCTTTCTGGTTGTCCCTGGGGCTTCCCTGTGCCATGCGGAGAGGATCGGATGCTGCAGCTGGGAAGTTTCCCAGCTTTCCCTGTCCTGCATCTCCTGTAGGACGTTTTTGCCTCTGCTGTGAGCTGAGCACAGTGACGGCAGATAAGGCTTTGCTTGAATTGGAAAGGGCCTGTTGGCACTCTTGAGGTGAACTGGGAACTTGGCCAGGTTTGGACTGGAGACTGCTTTGGATGCTCACCAGGAGGTGAGTTGGAAGCCTGATGGATTTCTTGCTCTTTCACCACAGAGGCTTCAGCTACGCCTGTGCCGGGGGGCTCTGTGCCATCGAGGAGCCAAGGCCGCATGTGGGTCTTGATTATTGCAGGTACGTGAGGCTCGGAGTGCTGCACCTGGTCTGGCTCCAGGCTTGGCCTGTAAATGGAGTATTCTGATGCAGTTAATTCCGGGCCTGTGTCAGTAGCTGCTGTCACTTGGCCTTAGAGGGGACCTTACACGGCAGCTTAATCATTCCTCTGACCTGGGCGTGCTGTGTCCTTGGAAAGGCTGTTCCATGCGAGCTGGCACTAACTCCCTTCCTCTCTCTGTCCCTTATCCTCGAGGGAAGCTGCTGATCTCTGGCTGTTGGCTAATGCTGTTGCACGGCAGAGCCCAGTGCTGATGTCTAGACCTGGTGCAGTGAATGCTCCTCTGCTTGTGCGCTCTTCTCTCCCTAGTGCTCCTCAGCATCCTGGTAGCTGTGGGCTCTGTCATTGTGTGGGGCCTGTCCAGAGCAAAAGGCAGATCTGACATCTTCAGTCTTGAAGGAGCATCCAGGGAGCAGCTGGTGCCTGACAAGAGCCAGACGGGCTCATTTCCCTGACAGGTAAGTTCCTTGCACCCCGTGCGCTCTGCGTGTGTGAGGGAGAAATACCTGATTGCTCTGTGGTTTTGGCCTCTCTAGAGCTTTTCCCTCTGGGGGTAGCTTTTGCCAGCTGTTCCCCAAGCCACGTGCTCTGGGTTTCCATCTGCCCTTTCCTTCCTCGCAATCAGGCATGAAGGCTCTTGCTTGACTGCAGAGAGAGTTGCACAGCTTAATCTGAGGGGCTGCTGACTTCTTTGGATAGTGAAGTGCTGGTCTCTGTCCTGCCTCTGCTGCCAAGGACGCTGAGCACTCTTGCTGAGATATTAATCTTCTGGTGTGGGTTGTTTTCCTCCACTTTGCAGAAACTGATATCAAACCAGATTTTTGCTCAAAGGACTGTCAATAACCAGTTTATTTTTCTGTTCTTATAACAGGCGTCCTTACTATAAGGTGATAAGATGGGACTGGCCTGGTCTCTGTCCTGCTCACCACAGAGGCTGACTGAATTGGAATGAAGCTCTCAAATCTATGTTTTTACACTGGAATAACAAGAGAACACTCCCTTTGGAAATGGGCCTTAGATTGTGGGACTGGTTTGGCACTGGAAATAGCACAGGACCTTCCCTGGTGGTGTGAAATCACCCTGACAATGGTTGTAAAATTTCTTCATTGTTCTTGCCGCCATTGTTTTTAGTGCTGATTCTCACTAGTGTGGCCTTGGACCCAAATATTTTACTCTCCATGAAATGAGAGGTGCTAGGTGCTATTCAGCTTATTCAGCTGTTTTCTTCCACTTCCAGCCAAAAGACTTTTTCCACCTGCCCCGTGCTCCCCCCTGGATTTTTTCAGGGAATGGGGACTTTCTCCTCCGTTTCAGTAGGAGCTCTCTGACTCCACACGGTTCACACACACATCAGACTCCACATTTGCACTGCTGTTTTGGTGCTGCTTGATCCCATGTACAGGAAGCTTTTACTGACGGGTCAGCCACAGGCTGGAAAGCTGAGAAGCTTCCTGGCTGCTCTGGCTTTGCCACCTGGAGTCCGTGTGGGGCGAGCAGCTTCTCGGCACACTCCCTTCCAGCGAGGATCTCTGCCCTTTGCAGAACTGCACTTTCCACCCCAGTCCTGAACTCTGGATGCTGCTTCTCTAACACCGTTAAAGGTGTCTTCCTTAAAACTGTTTTTATGTGAGTGGTGTCCCTCAAGGGTCCATACTGGGACCAATAGTGTTTAATGTCATCATCAGTGGTGTGTATAGTGGGATCGAGCGCACTCTCAGCACGTCTGTGGATGAGACCAAGCTGAGTGGTGCAGTTGATTCACTTGAGGAAGGAGATGCCATCCAGAGGGAACCTCAGGCTGAAGGAATGGGCCCGTGTGAACACCATGAAGTTGAATAGGGTCAAGTGCAAGTCCTGCAATCTGGGTTTGGGGCAACCCTTGCAGAAGATGAGGCTGTGGGGTGACCTTATTATGTCTTTTCAATATATAAAGAGGGCTTGTAAGAAAGAGAGACAGGGGCTTTTTACCAAACCTTATCACCACAGGGAAGGGGGAAGGGTTTTACCCTGAAAGAGGGAAGATTGAGCTGAGATGTGGGGAAGAACTTGTTTGCTGTGAGGGGGGGAGAGCCTGGCCCAGGTTGGCCAGAGAAGCTGTGGCTGCCCCATCCCTGGAGGGGTTCAAGGGCAGGTTGGAGGGGGCTTGGAGGGACCTGGTGTGGTGGGAGGTGTCCCTGCCCAGGGCAGGGGGTGGCACTGGGGTCCTTTCCAACCCAAACCATTCTGTTGTTCTATGAGGTTTTGAGTGTTTGGTGCTTTTTTTTTTTTTTTTTTTTTTTTTTTGTTCCATTTCAGCTTGAAATAATGCCCATCTTGTATCAAAACATTGTCTGTGTGTCGTGGCACCTGTAGCTCTTTGCAAACAGCTCAATGTTGTACACTTTCCAGAAGAACTGACAATGGGAGGAGGGTATTACTGACCAGTGCCTCTAGTTCATGTTGACCACACGCTTCTTGCACAAGTGTTCACTAAGTGCACAAAAGACAGAAGGCTGCTGCCTCGGCTGCTGATCTCTGTGCCTTAAAGGTGAGCACTTGACTTGCCAAGCAGATACAGGCCATCAGCCTTAGAGCAGGAGTCTTCCACTTCTGGGCAGTGTGTGCATGGGGTGCTGCACCCCACGGGAGAAATGACTTTGTGTGGCGTGGAGTATGAAGTTATTCCAGTGCTGCTGTTTTTAGTACCAGGAGCTCATTTGTGGGGGTGCACACAGCCTTGCTTCTGTTTCCGTAGGGACAAGTGGAGACAGCTGTTGGTTAATGCCATAGGAGAATAAAGAACTTGAAACCAATGAGTGCTGGATTTCTTTATTTTTCTTGGATTTGTGCATTCGCCTGAATTCTGTAGGCGGGAGGCAGGGGGCTGTGTGGCCTTTGGATTGTCATGTTTTGGTAAAGGGGTACTCGTGGGGGGGGGCTGTGGTGGGCAGACAGGGCAAGCTGCCCCGGACTGAAGAGACTCCAGTGACTTTATCAATGTCTTTATGTGACTTTATCAATGATCTGGATGAGGGGATCGAGTGTACCCTCAGTAAGTTCACAGACAACACCAAGTTGGGTGGGAGTGCTGACCTGCTGGAGGGTAGAAAGGCTTTGCAGAGGGATCTGGACTGGATGGATGGATGGATGGATGGGCCCAGGCCAAGGGGATGAGGTTCAACAAGGGCAAGTGCCGGGTCCTGCCCTTGGGTCACACCAACCCCATGGACGCTCCAGGCTGGGGCAGAGTGGCTGGAGCTGCCTGGTGGAAAAGGACCTGGGGGTGTTGGTCAACTGTCGGCTGAACGTGAGCCAGCAGTGTGCCCAGGTGGCCAAGAAGGCCACCAGCATCCTTGTCTGTGGAACAGTGTGGGGAGTAGGACTCAGCAGGTGATCGTCCCCCTGTACTGGGCACTGGAGAGGCCTCACCTTGAGTACTGTGTCCAGTTTTGGGCCCCTCACCACAAAAAAGCCATTGAGGTGCTGGAGCGTGTCCAGAGAAGGGCAATGGAGCTGGTGAGGGGTCTGGAGCACAAGTCTTGTGAGGAGCAGCTGAGGGAGCTGGGGGTGTTCAGCCTGGAGAAGAGGAGGCTGAGGGGAGACCTCACTCTCTCCAACTCCCTGAAAGGAGGGTGTAGCCGGGGGGGGTCGGTCTCTGTTCCCAAGGAGCAGGTGATGGGACAAGGGAAAATGTCCCCAAGTTGCCCCAGGGGAGGTTCAGATTGGAAGTCTGTGGAACAGTGTGGGGAGTAGGACTCAGCAGGTGATCGTCCCCCTGTACTGGGCACTGGAGAGGCCTCACCTTGAGTACTGTGTCCAGTTTTGGGCCCCTCACCACAAAAAAGCCATTGAGGTGCTGGAGCGTGTCCAGAGAAGGGCAATGGAGCTGGTGAGGGGTCTGGAGCACAAGTCTTGTGAGGAGCAGCTGAGGGAGCTGGGGGTGTTCAGCCTGGAGAAGAGGAGGCTGAGGGGAGACCTCACTCTCTCCAACTCCCTGAAAGGAGGGTGTAGCCGGGGGGGGTCGGTCTCTGTTCCCAAGGAGCAGGTGATGGGACAAGGGAAAATGTCCCCAAGTTGCCCCAGGGGAGGTTCAGATTGGAAATTAGGAAAAATGTTTCCACAGAAAGGGTTATTAAGCCTTGGAATGGGCTGCCCAGGGAAGGGGTTGAGGCACCATCCCTGGAGGGATTCAAAAGATGGATTGACATGGTGCTGGGGGACATGGTTTAGTGATGGGTTTTTTGTTGGTTGTTTTTGTTTGTTTTTTTTGCCGGAGTTAGGTTGATGGTTGGACTAGATGACCTTGAAGGTCCCTTCCAACCTAGATGATTCTATGATTCTAAAAATGAAATGCAGGGAGCAGAGTGAATGGGGATGAGGAACAGCTGGCATTGGCACCAGGTGCACTACTGCAGAAGAAGCAATGACTGGAAAGAGCTTAATAAGGTGTAAAACTTAATACTGTGTGAGCTTGTTCCCTCTTCACGAGAGAAGTGGGAGCAGCAGGGTGTCCAGCAGAGCAGGGTGGTGTTTCAGCCATCCTGGCAGGGCTGGCACTGCCAAGGCTGTGTGGTGGAGCTCAGCTGCCACCAGCCCGTCCCACATCGTCCCCAGTCGTGCTGCTGAGCAGAGATGGGCTGTTCTGCCCCTCGCCCTGTGCCACGGGGTGCAAGGCTGGTGGGTAAACTCCACAGTTACAGCCCCGTCCCTCTGCAAGATCATGCAGGTTTTGCTCGCTCACCCCTGCGCTGAGTGTTTCAGGCTTGAAAGAAATACATTGTTAAGGATCTTGTGCCAAAACCTGGGACTGTGTTTGTGACAGCAATTTCCCTTCTTCTGACCGGTGCCAGAAGCATTTTTGTTGTCCTAATCCCCAGGCTCCGAGACTTCAATTGCAGTGGAGCCTGAGCTGCTTTTCAGTCTGGGAGCAGCTTTGTGCTCCAGGTCTCTGTGTTTAATTAGATCAGTTCATGGCAATCAACGTGAAGTTTCACCTGCTGAGGTAGGGTTGTGTTCCTGGGTCAGACATCAAAGATCAGCCCATTTAATTTTGCTTCTCCTTCTACTTGCATACCCAAAGGATTATTTCCTCCTCTTCAGTCCCTGTAGTTCAGGGGAACTTTCACTGTGCACTTGCGTGTCCAGTATCCCATTCCACCTTCCTGGAATGGGGGTGGTGTGGGGCTGAAGGTGGGTGTGATGGGCAAGGGGCACAGGGCAGTGCTGCAGGAGTGACCCGTCACGTTGGTGACTTGCTCGGGCACTGTGCGGAGGGTGAGATGGTTCCTTTGCCTCTTCCCCTGTAAATCTGCACTCTGGGGCTCTGGGGGATGAGCTGGGCAGCAACAACCGTTTCCCTTCTCTGGGCTGTGACAGCTGACGGAGCAGGGGCATTAGCACTCGTGTGCTTAACGACTGACCGGTGCCGAGAGCAGCATCTGTTGTGGGGGTACAAAGCTGGTACAAATCCTGCGTGTCTGCACCTTTCCCTGCCTTTCAGGGCACAGGGTCTTTCAGGGTTCAACCGAGGCAACTTCATTCTTTCTTTTCCACTTGCGATCACGGACGCCCCCCTTGGAAACAGGGTGGCATGTGGCAAACACAAAGAGCTAATCAGAACAGAATAAAGAAGGAGAGAAGTGAGAGCTGGAAATAGTTCCTTACGTAAAGGGCTAGTGCTTCAATCTCATTATTGTCTTAAGAAGCGGACACTTAGCTGCCTCCGACTCCGACAATGCAAACCGCAATCTGATCAGCAATCGGCTTTGGGAGCCCAGCAGGTGCCATGTGGCACCGTGACATGGCCAGTGCCCCTCGGGCAGCAGCTTGCCACCGCTCCTCCGAGCTCACACTGCGCGTCCCAGTCAGCCTGCGCCCGCCGGGAGCATCCCCATGAAGCCAGAGCTGCTGTCCCACGGCCCCTAACGGGAATCACTGCTTCGGAGGGTCAGGCGCCATGAGGCAGCTGGGGATGAGGCGTGCGAGTCTCTCTGCCAGCCTGAAGATCGGGGACCGCCGGGGCCGCTGCCGGACCCCGCAGGAAGAGGAAGTCTACATCCCATTTGCGCAGGACAGCCTGGTAAAGCCATGGAGCTCCATGCAGAACGTGATGGACAGAAACCAAGAGAAAAGCAAGACTCCCATCCAAAGGAACAAGTACTTGCTCAACATCAATGTTGGTGGCAAGTTGTTCCAGATAGCTATCAAGGTAGCGGCCCGCTATCCCATCACCAGGCTTGGGAAGCTGGCCCTTTATACCGACCCTATGAAGAAGCTGCAGCTCTGCGATGACTACTCAGTGCAGAAGAATGAGTACTTCTTTGACAGAGATCCTTCAATTTTCCACTACATCTTCCACTTCTACCGCAGCGGGGTCCTGTGGATAATGGATGAGATGTGCCCCAGTAACTTTGTGGAGGAAATCGAATACTGGGGAATCCATCTGAAATACTCCCAACGCTGCTGCCGGATCCTGTTTGAGGAAAAGCAAGATGAACTCAGCGAGTACCTGAAAATACAGAAGGAGCTGGAGGCAGAACTGGAGCCTCTGGACTCAGCAGAACACTTTGAGGGCAAATTTCTGGGACGGTTTCGAAAGATGATCTGGAACCTCATTGAGAACCCATACTCCTCTGTCCCAGCCAAGATCATTGCTGTCATGTCAAGCTTCTTTGTGCTTATCTCCATCGTGGGCATGACACTGAGCACAGTGGAAGAGATGAAACACAAGACAGGGAAGATGTGGATGGAGCAGCTGGAGATGATCTGTGCCATCTTCTTCACCTCTGAATACCTCATGCGGCTTATATCCTCCTCCAGCTTCAAAAACTTTTTGCGGGCAGCGTTTAATGCTGTAGACCTGGTCGCCATCCTGCCCTTCTACATCCAGATCCTCTTTGAAAATCTGGACGAAGCAGACACGCTTTACCATGAGGAACTGCACAAGGTGGAGAATGTGAGCAAGCTGGGCAAAGTCCTGAAGCTCATCAAGCTCATGAGGATCTTCCGCATCCTCAAGCTGGCTCGCCACTCCACTGGTCTCCGGGCCTTTGGCTTCACCATTCGCCAGTGCTACCAGCAGGTTTGCTGCCTCTTCCTCTTCATCGCCATGGGGGTCTTCACCTTCTCTGCTCTCATGCACTCGGTGGAACATGATGTGCCAGGCACCAACTTCACCAGTATCCCCTACGCATGGTGGTGGGCAGCGGTAAGGTGTGAGCTCCTTCTTCCAGAGGAGGGTGCGGTGGGGCTCCGTGGGTAGGGGGCTGCTCTGGTGCTTGAGGGATTCACCACTGCTGGGGGCCAGGAGGCAGAAAAGGGCCCAGTCTTCTCATCAGCTCAGTAACCGTGGGAAACCCAGAGCCCTGCACCCTCTGAGAAAAGAAATCAGAGATTTGGACTGAGCTCCGAGGCTCAAAAGCTGGTGCTGGGGTGGGATGGTGGGACAGAGGTGGTGGCCTGGAACCTCCAGGGCTAGCTTAGTGACAAGGGGAGTGTAACTCAGCCTGGGCTTTTTCTGTCATGGGACCCAAATGTTGGGTGGATGTGGTTCAGACCCCATGGGCATGGAGACAGCTGCCCGGGACAGCCTGAGGCTTGTGCAGCATCACAGCCCGGTTGGGCTTGGGAGGTGTGAGAGGGTCAGAGCTTGTGGGGCTGCTCATGGGGACCCAGGACTACATGTGGGAATCAACGAAACACGGTCACACCGTGCCTCAGCCCATGTCTTGAGCGGGGACGCAGCCTGGGGTGTGCTGCAGCCTTCGCTCAGCCCTTGTTTGCTGCCCTGCTGGTGCTGGGAGCCGGCAGCTCTGCTGAGCCGAGCGCTATAATAAACCTGGGATTACCTCTGAGATGAGGAGCAGCTAAAGCACTTGAGAGCCAGGGGTTAGGAGGGCATTTTGATTTACGGATGAAGCGATCCCACAGATCACTTCTGCTCTTATAATCCCCCTTGGCCACCACAGGCTGCCCGCTGCAAATTCCTCCTGCCTCGAGGAAGTGCAAAATCACTTAGCAAAATCACCAGATTTGAGTATTTAAACGTCACAGGCTGATCCTGTCCCCGGTCGACATGGCTTCATGCAAAGCCCAAACCTCTCTGCCTCAGCTCTCGCCCTGTCCCCCATAGTCCTACCCCCTCTCATCGAAACACAGTTCCTCCGGGTACGTTCCCGGGCAGCGCCTGTTTCCCTTGGAGGGAGGGTCTGGGAACCTTCGTTCCTGAGGGACTGGGCAGCTTATGGCCAGGAAACACCGGAGCCACCGCTCCGTGGGGGCAGGAAGCTCCAGCAGACAGTCTGGCTGCTGGGGAAAGTTCGGCTCGGTGACATCCAGCTGCTTTTGAAGAGACGCACGCGAAGGAGAGGGGGGAGCAGGGCCGTTTGCCTCTGGTCTCTGCTGTTGGGGCCTCATCCAGCCCTGTCTTTGGGTTCTCCAGGATGGAGAAACTGAGCCCTGGCTGTGCAGGGACAGCCAGGCTGGCTGCAGCCACGGTGTTGTTCTCAGGTGATACTCAGCAGGGCAGGCAGGATCTGCTGAGCTTGTTCACGTAGGATTTTATGCTTTTCCTTCCTCGCCCAGGTCAGCCTCTCCACTGTGGGTTACGGAGACACCGTACCCGACACGCTGCTGGGCAGGGTGGTGGCATTTGGCTGCATCTCCTTCGGCATCATCCTCAACGGCATGCCCATCTCCATCCTCTACAACAAGTTCTCTGACTACTATGCCAAGCTGAAGGCCCATGAGAACGAGGCCAGCCACTCGCTCAAGCTCTCCAGGAGGATCCGCCTGAAGGAGCGGGTTGTGCGGAAGCTGTCGGAGTGCTGCAGAGCTGACCCCCGCGGCCAACACTGACCACCGCCCGCACGCCCCTCCGCCCTGACGCGTCCTGCCTTGCAGCCTGGCTGTCTCTTCAGCAGGTCCTGTCCCCTGGGGAGGCTCCACCACTCAGGCAGGAGCAGCAAGTGGTAGCAGGGACGTGCTGTTGTCCAGATGCCGCTGCTGGCAGGGGCTGTTTGGAGGAGTGAAACGTGCCCGTGACTGTCTTGTGACACGGTCGCCATTGCGTGCTGGAGTCTGCTGTCCCCCAGAGTGGTGGGTAAAGGACTAGCTAGAGAGCTCGCTGTACAGCCGTGGCAGGATGTCTGCAGCCATGAGCCCTTCCAGGCAAGCCCACTTCACCTCCCACTGCCCTGGGAGCCTGAGGGCAGGGTCCTGGCTCGGGATGCTGCTGCGATGGAAACCACAGGCACCTCTGGGGTGCAGAGCTGGCACCAGAGCATCCCCAGGAACAGGCATTTAATAAATCGGGCCAAACCCATTCATTGTCTTGGAGGTCTTGCCACTTCGTGTAATTCAATGAACTGCTTGTAATTTGTGGGGTGAGGAGGGGGCTCACAACCACCTCTCCTGGCAGTCGGGGGAGGATGGGAGCTTCCATGGGACACAGAGGAGCCTGGCTGCACGTTGGTTTGGGGATGAGGTACCTGGCCTGGGGAGTGTTGGAAGCAGAACTGGGATGTCTACACATGCTTAGGACACACTGGTTGGCTCTGCTGTGTGTTCAGGTCCTGGTGAGAGTGGGGGACATGTCTGCAGGGCACAGGGGAAGGATTTTTCCCTCTGTATCTAGTCAATGGGCTCCCTGGGGGCATTCACTGTTCCCTGGGGTGGGATGGGGAGAGGGACCCCAGGCAGTAGTGGGGAAGGGCCAACAGCCATGGGTGCTGCTTTTGGGTGAGCAGTGGGAGGAAACTGGTGCCCACCAGGGTGGGATTGGGACACCTGCAAGCTGGGCTTGGAGATGAAGAGCTGCTTGGGGGGTGCTTGTCCTGGCGTAGACCTGGGACCACCATTAAGCCGCTGCTGTTGCAAACTGTTGCTGATGGAAAGAGGTTTGGAGGGGCTGAGGGACAGCAGGGAAAGCCAGGCTCCTCCTGAGTCCTGGACTGCAGGGGTCTGTGCCAGCGAGTTTGAGACGGGGACCCCTGCCCACATCCCCCCTGCACCTACACCCGCTCCCTGGTACCCACGTCAACACCCATCCTCTCTGCTTCTCCCCGGTATAATGCAATCCTGCACTGCTGCTCAGCTCTGCTTCCCACCCCATTTCTCTTCCATGAGGAACCTTCCCTCAGTGCAGCGCAGCCTCCTCCAACCATCTTCTCCCAGAGCTGCCCACCACCCACCCGCCCTGGCAGCATCACCTATGGGCACCTCTACATCCCCTACCCCATCACTGCATCCTGCCACATGCCCCCGTCGCCTACTCAGGAATTGCCCCCCACCCTCCATTTTGGGCTGGCTGATGGACCCTGACATCATTTGGCTTCCAAGGAATGGGGCTCGGCAGCCGAACACACCCTTCCCCAGAGACTGCGCTGCGGCTGCGTCTTCATCTCTCTGCTTGCACCCCCCTCCCATGTTTTGGCCACCCCCACCCCAGCAGTGGTTCCACAAACACCTCCTCGGAGAACGGCACATTTAATAGTTCCTCTGAATTCATTTTACAAGTCACAACAATGCAGAAATGTACAGACATTTACAGGCCGCTGTACAGGCGGTTTCTGTCATATATTAGTGCTCTTGCTATATACATATAGTACAGCCTGTGGGAAGCCTCTGCGCGGGCAAGGAGACCTGCACTCCCACGCAGGGCACCCCAAAACGGAGCCATCGTCCCTGGGCTGCAGAGTCGTGTGGGCTCATTCAGGTCGATTTAATCAGAGCTTGGCCCTGAGCCTTCCTGGGCACCACCAGGGGGTGATGCCACCCAGGGCAGAGATGGGCACCCCTTGCTTTCCTCACCCTGGTCTCTTTTGTGGAGTCTTGCGGGATGGAGACCCCCGCAAAGATGCTCTGGAGGGAGCGGGAGCAGCCTTCGTCATGGTGGCACTTCCACCTTCCTCCTCCTCCTGCCTCAGTGGCAGCCGCAGCTCCCGGCCACCATGTCATCGTACTGCTTGAGGACCACGTTCTCATCGTCATCAAAGTAGAGGAGGTTGATGGAGTAGAGCTTGTCGGGGACACAGCAAGGGCTGCTGACGCCCTCGCTCAGCTTGAGGGCATTGATGATGGACTGCACGGTGGCGTGGTTCGTTGGCCGCATGTTCTCGCCCAGCGGGAAGGGGCAGGACCCCTTGCAGTGGTAGGCGTTGTACCCCCGTGGGGAGATGATCCAGCCGGACCAGCCGATCTCCTCAAAGTCCACGGACAAGGGATGTCTCTGGCAGGGCTGGAGCCGGTCCAGTGAGCGGATGCTGCGTGGCCCAGTCAGCCTGGGCATAGGCATCTTTGCAGGGAGAACGGGAGCCTGAGGCTGTAAATCTGCCAGAAAAGAAGACCCGATGCCATCAGCCATCACAGAAGCCTGGGAGGAAGGAGGACACGGCGTGTGTTCCCCCCCCCGGCCACCCCTCCCCTCCTCACATGTTTTGTCTGCGCCACCTGGTGCAGCAAGCCCTTCAGTCACAGCCTGTCACCAGCCCAGGCAGAGCCACCAGGAGGTGACAACCTCACAGCCCCATGGCCATGCTCATCAGGGCAAGCAAAACGCAGATTTACCCCTTCGAGCCTGCACCCCTGCACGGACTAAGCCAGAAAGGAGATGGCCTCTCCCTCTGGCCAGAGAAGGAGCTGTGGATTTGAAGGCACCCACGTGAGTGGAGCACCCCAGCACCCCAAGGTCAAGGGAACGGCAGCACCACAAGAGCTGTGCCGGGGGCGGACGGGACCCACCTGGGAAGCTGGTCATGGGCAGGGATGCTCCCCGGCGCCCGTCGTCCGTGAACAGGACCAACATGGGCCTCTTGCTCTCGTGGTGGTCCCCGCCGGATGCGAACTGCAGCGGGGGGGGGTCAAGCAGGCTCCCGCCCAGGCCTTGGACCGTCACCAGCAAACCCTGGTTGCTGCTTTCATCTTCCATCCAGTCACGAACCTGGGGAGCCAAACCAGTGTCACCGTGGCAGGACAGGCACGGCACTGGTGTCCCCGCGGCACTGCCAGGCCAGCAGACCTGGTGGCCCCTCACCAGCGCAGTGGTGTGAGCTGGGACCACCCACAGCCACAGGGTGTCCCCCTGCCCTGGGCAAAGGGGCTGTGCTGTCACAGCACAGGGGACACCACGGCAGGAACCAGGACCGGCGTCACCTGCGGAGCAGTGGAACCAGCCTGGGGCAGGACGGAGCAGCCCCTGACGCTCTTGGCAGGGCTTTGACCCCCCTCCCACAGGCCCTTCCTCCCCCACCCCGGTTGCTGCAGAGGGTCTGGATGGCAAATTGCATTGGAGCCCCACAGGCTGCTGGTGTTGAAATGGGTTAAAAAAAGCTCTGTCACACAAAGTCCCTCTGTGCCACCCAAACCAGGGGAGAGCACTCACCGCCTGCGTGATGGCAAAGACCTCCCAGCCCGAGCTCTGCAGCGAGACCAGCCTGGCCGCCAGCAGCTTCTTCCCTCCGGGCGCGTCCGGCTCACTCTTCTCCAGCACTTGGTAGACGCTGACCTGGGGAAGGCAGCAAAGGGCAGTGACCACCAGTGGGTCCTGCCAGAGGGGAGACACCCTGACACAGGGACTGGGGGGAAAAAAAGGCAGGAGTTGGAGGAGATGGCAGCTTGGATTTGTCACACCCTGCGAGTGCCTTGGCTGGTCCGTGCAACAGGACAGAACAACATCAAATCACTGTGATTCTCTGTGCAATGCAGTCACACTTCAGTTGTATGGACTTCACGGACCCAGGCCATGCCCCAGCTGCAGGCGAGTGACGCAGCACCTGAGGCATAGGCTGGGAATGTGCCCCATCCCTGTCCCTGTCTCCATCCCCACCCTCATTGTCATCCTCATCCCCATCCCATCCCCATCCCGTCCCCCTCCTCACCTGGCAGAAATGGTGCCTTTTTGGCCCATTGGTGGCCCTTGGCCAGAGGCGGAAGAGATGCAGTTCTGCCGTCAGGATCTTCTCGTTCTTGGCCACGCTGGAGAGGATGAAGAGGAACCGCATCTTCTCTCCGTGAGCTGCAGGGAAGGACAGTTGGGAAGTGGAGCCAAAGCAGAGGTGGCACCTCCACCAGCGGCACTTGGCCCCTTCCCACAGCCCCGTCCCCAGCACTGCGGGGACCCCCTGTCCTTACTTTTATCCAAGAAGCTGCGGACCGTGTTGCCCTCCAGGATGTCGGGGTTCTTGGTGACACCGTCCGCGTTGGCGACAGTGTTGAACAGATCCACCATGTACTGGGGCGGCTGCTTGGAGTGAGAGGGGGGAGGTGGAGGATCTTCCATGCCAAAGACCTCCAGGAGCCTCTTCAGAGCCTCAGCCCGCCGGCTCTCCACGCTGTCCGGACTCGGGCACGCCGGCTTGGACAGGGCCAGCAGCAGCAGGACAGTCCCCAGCATGGCTCTGCTGTCCCTTTCCCAGCTCCACTTCTCTCTGCCTGCCTGGTGCTGCATTTATAACTCACTGGAAAGATGGATTGGAGTCAAATATGCACATGAGCAATCAGGAGGGTAAAGAGAGCTAATTGCCATGCTAACAAGGTGTGAAGCTGGGCTCCTGGGCACCCTGCACCAATTAGCCCCAGTACACAAGTGGGAAGGGAGGTGGGCTCACCCCAGTGTTCCTGGGGCTGGCAGGGGACACGGGGGTCTTGGGCCGTGCCGTCCCTTGGTGAAGTTGTGGCTGGGATGCGTTTGCTCTCAGTAGGAGACTAACTGGTTTTTAATGATGGCACTAATGGGACAAACAGGAGGACCTTTGTGTGGAGGAATGCAGCCACTCCAGTCCCCTTCCCACCGCTCTCCTGCTGCAGCAGCCCCTGCTTCCCTGCGCCGCAGCATCGAGTGTCGGTGTCACACTGCTGTCCCCATCCCACGGCCCTGACAAGTGGGGTGGGTGCGTGGAGCTCCTTCACACAGCAGGGATGGCCCAGGCTGAGCATCCCCCGATGCTCCCCACGGTGATGCCCGTGAGAAGGAGCCCGAGGAGCCAAGACCACGGGGAAAGCAGGTTTCCAGGTGCAGCCCCCTCCGCAGCACTGCCCGGCCTGGGCTGTGGCAGTAACAGCAGCAGGAGGAATCAAACCACCATTAAGCTTTGTCTTTGAAAAAAACGGCCAATTAGTTTCCTGGGGATTAAAAGGCCCTTGCTGCTAATTCCTGAAATATCACAAGAACCCTGTGTCCTCTGGATGACAGGATAAAAGCCAATTCTTTTGCTTTTATTCCCCACACACAGAGAGACTGTGTTGGTGAAGGTGGATGTGTTGACACAGCGCACGTGGACTCTACGTTGGCTGTTTGCTTTAATGCCATGTGACGGAACGGAGAAATTAGCATTATACAATGACCACCAGTGCATCAGCTAAAATGAGCAGGATTAGAAAGAGCCTGTTTGGTCTTATAGGGACCCCCCCTGTGGACGAGGCTCTGCTGGAGGCTTGGTGTGGAGAGGGGAAGGTGCAGGAGCAGAGCCAGCACCATCTGTCTGTCTGTCTGTCTGTCTGTCCGCCAGCCGGGACCCAGCGGGGCTCCCTGGCCACAGCACTCCCAGGCCAGTGCAACAGGAGACAAGCTGAAGTCTACTTGCCCAGCCGGTGGCTATAATTTTTTCTAACACGACACTTGGCAGGTGAAAGGGCTGTTAATTACCCAGAAGAGGCAGGGAGGCAATGGCAGGCTTGAATTAATTGATAGAGGAAACTATTCACATCCTCGGGATTCTTTCCTTCCCCTTCCCCGCCCACTTCCCCAGTGTCCTGTGGGACGGCTGGGGCTGCCTGCAGAAGGGACCTCTGAGCCCCAACACACCCACCTGCCCATTTCCCTCTCCTCTCCCACTCCTGCTTCCCATTCTGTACGTGGGGGCAGCTGGGCCCATGCGACCCCCAGCTCCTGCAGGCTGGGGTCCCTCTTCGTGCCGCATCCTGCCGGGATGCTCGGGGAGAGCCGGGGGGAGCTGCGCAGTGGAGCCCCCCAGAGAGCTGCAAATTGCCCTTGATGTTAATTTTACAGGCTGCAAAACATTTTGCGGAGGATTCATTTATACAAACTTTGTTCAAACCAGCTTTTATTCAAAAAAATAGCCTTCTGTCATTTACATATACTACAGACAGTCTGGCAGGGGTCTTGCAGGAGCCCCACCTGCATGTCCCTGGCCCCGCTGCCCCCAGCACTTGCACTGCCTGATGGCAATGACAGTGCGACCACGGTCCCGCCGGCTCCTGAAGGTGTGTATGTCACACACAGCTTCTACCCAAACCAGACATTTCTTTCTGCCTTGGGAGCCTCTGCAGTTAGAGACAAACCTGGTACATTCCCTGCCCTGACAGGCCCCGGGGCCCCAAGTGCCATTGCCTGGAAAAAGGGCAGATGCCCTGGACCAGGGCTGGGGAGAAGGGAGGCAGCATGTGTTCCTCACCCCTGGTGCAGCCCAGTGAACTGTCTCCTCCCTCTCTGCCTGTGCAGAGCAGGGATTACTTACTTTGTGATTTGATTTGCTTCACTTCGCATTTGCTACTTTTTTTGCATCTGTAGGTGACACAAAGCACTGCCCCCCTGGCCTGAGACAACCGTCTGGACCAACCCTGCCCCAGAGCATCCTCCTCCTCCTCCTCCTCCTCCTCCTCCCACCCCACGCATCGCAGGCAGGGAGCAGGAATGGCACGTCCCAGGCTGGAGAAAGCCACTGTCAAGACCCTCTTCCCATCTGTGTCTGCTGCCACGAGGGACCACTAGTGCTATAACCAGCCACCCAACACCCCGAATTGTGCATCCTCATTGGGTTTTCTTTATCCTGTGGAGCGACAGAGCTGTGTGCTGCTGTGGCACCACTGCAAACACTGCTCTGCTTCACCTTCACAGTCAGGCACGGCCCAGGGGGTGAGCCGTGGGTGCTTCCCAAAAATCCGTCCCCATGGTACCCTCCCAGGTCCTGCCCCGGGAGCAGCAGGAACGGGGACGGCTCAGATCTGCCTGGGAATGTGTGTGGATGTGCCCGGGAAGGAGGATGGCTGGATGCTGGCAGCTGTGCTTACCTAAGCACGCAGGGATCCCCCAAGGAGCAGCTGCCCAAGCACCTTCCCACATCAATTTCCTGGAAAGATTTGCAGAACAAAGGTGTGAAAATCCCCCGCAGCACCTTCTCTGGGGACACCCCAGGGGACCGGCTGTGCCTGTCACTTCGCCCTGAATGTACAGCCCCGAGACACTGCCAGGCAAAGCTTGTCAGGAGAAGTACCTTGGGGGCACAGCAGAGTTTGAGTCAGAGGTCCCTGTGCACAAAGGTATGTTGAAGTAGAGTCTCCGTTGAACTGAGCTGAAGACATATCTAATGATTAAATACCTTTAAAAAATAAATATCACACTGCTCCCTTAACTATTTTTTAAATGAATCCTGATCCCAGAGAAAAGCCCATTTGTTACTTTATGGCACTGATATATCCATAAATTAATGTATTGGAAATGTGAGTTTTTTGCCACTAGGGTTCATGGCCAGGGCATGCTTAGGTCAGGATGAAGCTGCCCACATCAGAGCACCCACCCGGCTGCTCAAACCCCCCCATGGGCCCAGGGCACGGCTGAGCCCACAGGAGAGGAGACCAAGCCGTTCCCCGCTGTGTCCCACAGAGTTGTGCACAATTTCATAATAATATTCCACCTGGGAAATGCAGCAGCATTTTTCCTTCATTTTGCAGTTCTCCAGCATCTGAACCACCTCCCCATGGTGTGACTTTTTGACTAGAGCAGTGATGAACTTTGTGGCGTGTGGAAAAGTCCATCTGCAAGGGAATAAGAAGGAAATTTAATCTGGGGCTGCACCTGAGGCCGCTCCGGCTGCAGCATCTCCACCAGGGCTCTGGCGGGTGGCACAGACACAGCGTGGTGCCCCGTGTCCCACACCTCACACAGAGAGTGACATTCTCTCTGTGAGGGTCCCCACGCTGAGTTTGGGGCTCATTCCTTCACCAGCTCAGGGGCTCAGTGAGAGCTTTTCCTCCTCCATCTCTGTCTCCGACCACCAGGCAAAGGGAGGATATTCTGGGCCAAATTGGGAATCCTGCACCTGACCCTGTGAAAGCCCCATCTCTGGAGACACAGCCTGAGCTATTATACCTAATCTTTAAGAAAAAAGGTCTTTGAACATAAAATATCCATGGCAGCGCTTTTTCCAGAGACATGCTCTCACACCAGGGACCATTATTCACCATTTACTCGCACAGCATTTCTCTCTGGATTTGTCAGGGGCCTATGCCCCGCACGGGCTTCTCAGATGCTGGAGCCAATGTCCCTGGTGTCCCCAGCTCTCCCATGGGCATCTCCAAAGGCTTTGCTCTGGGCTGGGCTCTCAGCTCCCGATACAGGCAGACAAGCTGGCCGGGGCTGGGGTGATGGAGGCAGCATCTCCCCACCTCAGCATGAGTTAGAACAAAATCACAGAATCATTATGGTTGGAAAGGACCTTTATGATCATGAACTCCAACCATCAACCCAGCACTGCCCAAACCACCACTGACCCATGGCCCTCAGCACCACATCTGCCTGGCTTTTAAATCCCTCCACCACTGCCCTGGGCAGCCTCTTCCAAGGCTTGATAACCCTTTCTGTGAATAAATTGTTCCTAATATCCATCCTCTCTGTGAGGCCACGTCCTCTTGAGTTATTACCTCATGGGGTGGAGGAATGCTGGTACAAGAAAGGAGGAAAGGGGAGGCAGGCAATGGCCCTGGCTCTGGGGGTGCAGGACCAAGTCAGTCCTGCTTCCCCTTTTCTTTCCCTATTCAAGTTTTAACTCATTGAAAAATTCCCAGTGTAAAAAAAAACTTCTGTTCAGCTTGGACATCCCTAGTCTGGCTGCTAAGGAAGCCCTGCAGTGAACAGGGTGAAGGGGGGCTTTGGGTGGACAGGCCAAAAGCCCACATCTGGGCTGCCGTGTCACCTCCAGGCCAGGACATGACACCGATGCCGGTCCCGGCTGGCCCTGGCAGGGTCTGCACAGCTGGAGAGGAGACAGAGGCTCCTCCAGCAACACTCACGGCCAGTTGGAAGGAAACAGGCACAGCCTGTCCTGCCTGGCTCAGCCTCAACCTACGCTCTGTGCAGAAAGAAACAGTTTATCTGCTCAGCCTCCCAGTTTTTTTCTCTCTCTCAATTAAATTAAGATTAAAATCCCTGTTGCATGAGCTAGAGGAGGGGAAGAAGGGAGGCTGAGGAGATGCCTCAGTCAGTCTGGGGTTTTGGCTCTAAGTGGGACTTAGTCTCGCCCTGTCCCAGCCCTTGGGTGCGGGTCCTTCAGGATTTGTTGTGGTTCCTGACTCTAAAATGATTGTGAGAGTTTCCTGCCCCCTCCCAGCTCCTTCTTCAGCTGCTGGAGGAGATTTCTTTGTTTCAGGCTGGGACTGTGTTTTCAGGAGAGGGAAAAGCATTTTCTGAAAGCAAATCTCTCTGGGATGGGACACAAAATGACAAATGATTTTTAGAAGCCAGTATTTCTTGGTGAGATTTTTAACATCCCCCACCCCTGTCATTGCCAGTCTTTAACATGACACTGAAAGTGTCAGCCTGACTTTAGAGGGAAAATCCAGAAGGAAAGTGCCGAGACCTGCCCTAGGGCAGAGGCGAAGCTGGGGGCGAGTCCACATTTCCCAGCCCTGGGCCATTATCACCGAATGAGCCACCATCCATTAACCACCCCAGGGACAACAGCCTCGTCCAGCACCTTCCAGTCACACGTCTGGGAAGTAAATGCCGATTCTTCCACCTCTGGAAAAAAGCACTTCACGCTGCCTAATTTTCTTTCCCCCTGGCTGTGCCCTGCAGCCGGGTCACAGAAGATGAGGGCTGGGGATGGAGGAGCCAGATCACACAGATCTTCATGGTTGGAAACCTCTGAGATCACCCCGAGTCCAACCATAAAGAGACAAAATCTTACAAAGAGCGGTTGAAGGAGCTGGGGCTGTTTAGTTTGAGGAAGAGGAGGCTGAGGGGAGACCTCATCACTCTCTACAACTGCTTGAAAGGACACTGTAGAGAGGTTGGTGCTGGTCTCTTCTCACATATAATTAGCGATAGAGCAAGAGGGAATGGCTACAAGCTACAACAGGGTAGGTTTAGTCTGGACATTAGGAAACAATTCTTCACAGGAGTGGTCAGAGACTGGAATAGGCTGCCCAGGGAGGTGGTTGAGTCACCATACCAGAATGTGTTTAAGAGTCGTTTGGATGTGGTGTTGGGGGATATGGTGTAGGGGAGAACTTTGTAGAGTAGCATTGATGGTTGGACTTGATGATCCCAAAGCTATTTTCCAACCGGACAATTCTATGATTCTATGAAAAGACCCCCACAATCTTGGCCACTGGAGCATGCCCTGAAGTGCCACATCTACAAGCTTCATAAATACCTCCAGGGTTGGCTGCTCCACCAGCTCCCTGGGCAGGCTGTTCCAGTGCCTGACTGCTCTTTCAGTAAAGTCATTCTTCCTAATACCTAATCTAAACCTCCCCTGCCCCAACTTCAGACCATTTCCTCTGCTCCTGTCATCCTCCCCTTGGGAGAAGAGGCCAACCCCCACCTCTCTACACCCTCCTTTCAGGGAGTTGGAGACTCCTTCTCCAGCGCTCAGCCACAAGTGGAGCCCATTGGGGATGGTTCTCCCCACCACCCTCCTGCTTCCCCAGTACCTCCAGCTCCTTCGCTGGAGCCTCCAGGTCCTGCTGGGACTTTTCCTGGTCTCTGTCCCTCTCTAGTGGCTGCTGCACAGCCCTGTCATAGGAGCCGCCGGGAAGGCTTTAGCAGGATGGGGTTAGACGCAGAAATGCCAATAAAGTGACATCAACAAATTCCAGGAGAACTGATTTTATCAAGCAGATGTGGAAAATCATTTCAACGTGACCTTCCATCCTGATAAAAACGGATGATTTCATCTTCCCTGAGGTGACTCTCGGGCTAGTTTATGTGTGAACTCACAAGGCAGCACACCAGTTCAGGATGAACCAGTTCAGCTTCCAACCCAAACCATTCCATGATTCCAAGAGGCTCAGCAATGGACTTTCTGCAATGCAGAAGCCAAGAGAAGATATTTTAAAACATGTATAAAATCACAGCCCCAGGCACCAGAGTACGACTTTCACCAGACCCAGCAGCCAACAGGGAGGACAGACACACTTTTCTCACCTTCTTGCTTCTAAGGAAATCAAGCACGGAGGAATGTCTGGAAAGCCCTGGGAGGGAGGGCTGGGAGCCCTGGGGGGAGCTGGTCCACTGGGATGGGCAGCTGGACTAGCACTTTCCGACATCCACAGTGACCGGAGTGCCAGAGACATCTGCGAAACACCAGGACAAAGGGATTCCTCCTCACCATTTGCATGATGCTGGGGAGACCCAAGCTCAGACTATGGCCAAGTACAATACAAACCACTGAAGAAGAAGACACAGTCCACCCCTGGGAAGTCTGCCTGGGAGAGAGACTCCTTCAGCCCCAGCATCTGCAGAAATCCCAGAGAGCAAGCCCTGCACTAGCGCTGCACACGCGTCTGCAGACCAGAGGAAACACATTTCACAACAGATTTGTAAATGTGCTACAGAATAAAAAGTACGCAATTAAAAATTCACTCGGAAGCAGCAGGTTTTATATTCGTTAGTGAGCTCATGAAGGATGGGGTGAGAATAGATGAACACATCGATTAGCAAAGGGAAAATGTGAACGCTCAGCTGTGGCTGAACTGCAGATCTGGAAAGGTACTGAACAAACCTGAGCACCCAGTGCATCCAGGGCAGAGAGAGAAACCCAGTTCTCCTCACCAACAGCTGCTGAACGTGGTCATGGAGCTGAAAAGACCTGCCTTGTGTACCCCCACCCAAACCCCAATTTCCCTGGTGCCCAAACCTGCCACAGAGCCACCTGAGCACCACAGGCAGAGGACAGGGAGGTGGGAGCGGGGAGATGTGGGACCATGGCATCCAGGTTTGGATCAGTTCACTCTGCTGTATTTTGAGTTTGTAAAATATCAGTGGTTATTGGCTAATGGCTGCTGCTTCTGGAAAGCTTTCTAAAATGAGCTATTTTTCCCCGATAGTGCTGTCCGTACTCAATGGGCTGATGGATGTAAATCCTCATTTTACCACAGGAAGAAAACTGGCTTTTGAAGTGCCTGCTGAGTAGTTCAACGTCACCACAATTCATTAGCTTTAACCTGCTGGAGTTGCAGACCCAACGTGTGCTGCAAAACTTGAATTTTGCATTGATTTAAAAACTGACCTTCAGCATCCGTGCAAGAGACTCCCCCCAGCCACGCTGCGCCGCAGCAGGGAAGGGCTGTCCAGGGATTGCTTTGCCCGGGGAGACAGCGACCAGGGAGGCAGATAGCACTTTGCCATGTATGAGCTGTTCCCTGGGTGATCCCTGTAGGATGCACCTCACTCACAGCAAGGACACACACTGCTGGTCATTTTGCAAAGGTGACACATCAAGTGTGGGATGCTGCACCTGGGGAGAAATAACCCCCTGCACCAGTACGGGTTGGGGATGACCTGCTGGAGAGCAGCTCTGAGGAGAAAGACCTGGGGGTCCTGGTGGACAACAGGATGCCCAGGAGCCAGCAATGGGCCCTTGTGGCCAAGAAGGCCAAGGGCATCCTGGGGGGCATCAGGAAGAGTGTGAGCAGCAGGTGGAGGGAGGTCATCCTGCCCCTCTGCTCTGCCCTGGGGAGGCCCCAGCTGGAGCACTGGGACCAGTTCTGGGCTCCCCAGTTCCAGAAGGACAGGGAACTGCTGGAGAGGGGACAGCAGAGGCTACAAAGATGATGAGGGGCCTGGAGCATCTCTCTGATGAGTTACTTGAGGAACTTGGGTCTTTTTAGTCTGGAGAAGAGAAGGCTGAGAGGGAATCTGATCAATGCTTATAAATACTTCAAGGGTGGGTGTCAGGAGGATGGGGCCATTCCTTTTTCAGTGGTGCCCGGGGACAGGACAAGAGGAAATGGGCACAAACTTGAATATACGTTCCATCTAAACATGAAGAGGAACTTCTTTACTTTGAGGGTGGCAGAGCCCTGGCAGAGGCTGAGACATCCCAAACCCACCTGGACACGTTCCCTGGTGTGGACCTGCTCTGGCAGGGGGTTGGACTAGGTGATCTCCAGAGGTCCCTTCCAACCCCGTATCATTCTGTGATTCTGTGACTGCTGGCTGAAGACACTGTTAACCCCTGCTCTCCCAACCCCACAGTGATAAAAGCCACGTTTATTATTTTTATCACTATATATTACTATTTTTACTATTTTCATCATTATTTACTCTTATAAAATTCTTTCCCCTGGAGATGACAAGCTGTCATATTTGAATACGACCATTTCATATTTCCTACCGTTCACGTAAGAACGTGATGTTTTGCAAACACTGGAGGCTAAATTTGCACAAGTGCTGCTCTGACACACTGAGAAGAAAAGCTCAGAAACCTCAGACTTTTCCGCCATAGAGCGTAAAGCTATTTTCACATTTCTGAGCTTCAGCCTGATTTTAGCACATTTTCTGTAGCCACGCTGTCGCTGCAAGGGCCATGGAGACTAATGGCTACTTATGAAGAGCACAGACTGTTTTTTTCTGCTTTTTCTGTTCCCCTCTCTCTCTGCACAGTCAGGCGTGCTGTTGTCCTGCTGAGAGCCCTTGCAACGTCAATCCTGGGACCCAAAAGTCTGCAGTAATCCTGCACTTCTGCAGTACCAGACACAGAATTCGACCTCACGGCAGCGCATGGGCACAGGAGATGGAGCCCCTGACGTAGGGGCCAGGACACTCAGCAGTTCCTGTTCGACAGAACATGCTTCAAGTGTTGGACTATCTGGGTGATGAGTCCCCAGCATATTTCTGTCCTTCATCCCGAGGGAAAAGTCACCAGGATAATTTCAACACAAATCTGTTCTACAGAACATGCTTTAAGTGTTGGATTATCTGGGTGATGAGTCCCCAGCCTATTTCTGTCCTTCATCCCCTGAAGGAAAAGTCACCAGGATAATTTCAACACAAAGAAAGGTCTGAGGGACAATGGGCGGGATGTGAGTGGGGAATCTTGGAGGACCTGGGTTTCTCACAGGCAGAGGGGACTCACCATGTCTAATGAGGAGCAGCCCCTCTCTGCAAACAGGTTCTCTCCCTCATCCTCTCTGCTGATGGCTCCAGCACCTGAAGGCACAAACCACCCAGCCCAGCATGACCCCAGTTATCATTCACCGCCTTTCCTGCTTGGGCTGGGAGGAGGCACTGAGCACTGACACGAGTCTCCAGCCACCGCCGTCCTCAACCAAATGGCTTCAGCACAAGGAAGAGATATAGAGGATTTATTAATGGACATGACCCATCCAACCTCTCAGATCTGGCCAGTTGGGCTAAAGACCCTGTCTGATTAATTACCCTGGGAAAAGGCTGTGTTTAACAGTGTTTTATCTTAGGACATCAGTCCCCTGCTCTCTTCCACGTCACCACCACGCAAGCTTGGGCAAGAGGAGGAATCTCACACAGCACAACACAGCTCATGGGCACTGAACTCCCACAGCAGCTTCCTCGGAGACAGACCCCAAACCATTTGCTGAGAGCAGACAATCCTCCACGCTGCTCACTGGAGAAAACATACACCGTGCCCATCCAGCAGCATCAGAAACCCACACGCAGCCTCGCACCACACACCCACACAAGCCCTTTTCTCTCCTATGCAAGAGGCCAAAGCAGCGCCAAAGAGAATGAGAAGGAAAAAGGAACTTCCTGGCAAAGATGTGAGTACACAAGAAGCCCTGCAAAGAGCACTACAGCTAGTGAGTGCTGCACACTGCGCCTTGGAAACACAGCGAGGTGGCCAGTACCTCCCAGACTTACACTGGGCCCTCCCTCAGCAGGTGAGAAGGTGGACAGCTCGGAGACAAAGGGGCTCGGTATCACCAGCAAACACCTCCAGATTGTGACCTGACCAAACACCTGAACAGCCCAGGCAGTGATGGCATTGGAATAGGCTGCCCAGGGAGGGGGTTGAGTCACCATCCCTGGCTGTGTTTAAGAACCATTTAGATGTGGTGTTGGAGGATATGATGTAGGGGAGAACTTTAAAGTAGGGTAGATGGTTGGACTTGATGATCCCGAGGGCCTCTTCCAGCCTAGATGATTCTGTGATTCTGTGATCTCCTCCACAACATGCCTACGGGGATCAGGCATCCAGCAAACTTCAAAGTGTTTCTTGAGAGCAACTGGTTTTGCTCCCAGCCTGGGGAAGCCCCCTTAGGGACCTTTGCTCTTGCCAACACTTTCAAACTAAGTTTGTGGTGAGTCAGAGTCACTTTCAAGTTCCCTCACTTGAAAGGAACGTGCATCCTTCATCCTCACTCGTTGCATTCAGTGGCCTTTTTATCTAGGAGTGACCTGCTTTTGTCCCTCCACACCACCAACCCGAGACGGAGCCAGCTCTTCGATAGCCAGCAACACAGTGGGACTCCCCCACATCAGGGTGTTCCCCACAACTACACAGAAAGGCCTGAGCTCTGGTTTTGCTTCTTTTCAGCAGGACTGAGCCCCGGAGCCAAGAAGAGGCATCTTTCTTTTCTGGCCTGTTAAGTACACGTAGGAAAGTGCTAGTCTCTCGAGTCCTGGAAACAGCAGAGGCAGAGCCTGCGGGCTGTGAGGGACTCACAGGGTCGGGGGCAGCGCTGCCTCCCCAACACTGGCTGCACGTGGATCTTAATTACAGAACTTGGGGTCTCTGCACCGACTTGGCCAAGTGCATGTGGCAGGGACTAGATCCAATTCCCAGAGAATTTTTTTTTTGCCACATTCAGGAATGAGAGCACCCAAGAGAACAGTGATGGCAGCGGAACGCATCCAACACCGCTCCGGCATCCAAAACAGGGGGCCGGGGGGGGGGGAATTGGGTTGTGGGGGTTTATTTTGGCTACAATTACTTACAGGTGCAGCAGTCACAGAAATTTACGGAAGCTGTACACCCCTAGGAACAAGCCAAGTCTCCCTGGAGCTCACACACAGCTCCTGGAGGACAGCTGGGCTTCACTGGGACAGACACCTCGAGGAAACAATGAGCAAAAGCAGAATGAAGGCATCCTTTCCAAACCACACCATTTACCACAGTGCTACAGGAACACCACCCCCTCTGGCCCAGCAGCACAGACGAGAAACTGGGGCAGTTGTTCAACCAAAAAAAAATATAAATTTAATTGTGTTCAGCCAAGAAACAAACATATACAAAGAAAAATACATTTCCATTAAAAAAATTCCCCATGCCTGGGCATCTGAGCCACTTTCCACCCCCAGCCCTGCGGTGCTGCCAGGTACCTGGAGAGGCAGGAGCCACTTCTCCGAGCAACCAAAGCTGGAGAGCTGGTGGCAGGGCACAGGTAAGTGACATACAAAATATTTATGAAAAAATATGCATTTTAAATAAAGAACTTACAACAACTTAAACTTTATACAAAATACTATAGTTGCCATCTCAACGACTCAATTCTAGGAATTATTTTTGAACTCTCAACATCCTGTTTTCCACCCCACGTCCATCTCTGCAGCCTCTTTCTCCAGAGAGCACTGTCTCTGTCCAGCTCAGTCCAAAGTACCTGAAAATGAAAAAAAAAATTAAAAATTATAGTCTTGGGAATCGGAAATGCCAATGAAACTTGTTTACAAGCTGCCAAAGGAATATGGAGTAACTTCTTAAAGTTTAAGCAGACCACACACGAGTAAAACCAAATCTAGCTAATAAGTATTATGTGTCTCAGGGTCCATTTGATTTGTGTTTCACCTCTCAGTGAGAGATACAACAAGTTCCACTATTAATTACTAAAGATGTGGAAGCAGAGGGCTCTGAAAGTGATTAAATGCCTTCTCTCCCAAGAAACAGACTACACAAAATATTGAAACCAAGTAGAAACTCACCTTCCAAAAATGCGAATTCATCAATAGCTTCAATGGCATTATCTGCAAAGCAAATTGAAATCAATTAACATAAATAAATGACTCCATATTTGCATCTGTTTCAAATGGCAGCATTTGAAATTACATCACAGTACAGTGAACAATTACTGAGTGGTTTATTTTGTTCTGGAGCTGGTATGTGAAATTATTAATGTATTAATTGGTAGAAGAAAAGTTTTTCTCTCCCATCTTCAGACAAAGAAAGAAAAGCACCTATGATTGCTTCATCACATCTAGGCAGGTGGAAAAATCCTCCATCCTCACAACCCTTTGCTAAGGATAGCACAGAATACGCTCCCATACCGAGGTCTTTTCTCTGCAGAGTTTTCCTTTTTCCTTGCTGAGCGTACACATAAGCATCTTTGGCTATGGTTTCAACAAACAACTCCTGCAAAGCAAAAACAAGACAGTATCACACAGGGGATGAGAAAGAGAAGAGAGAATATCCTGAGAAAAGGTCCTATAAGACTTCAGAAATAAACCAGAATCTCCATCGTAATGTTTCTCCTTTCCAATCAATAGCTCTGAAAATAACAAATGAAACTGCTGGACAGTGATGCAGATGAGAAGTAACAAGGGAGGAGAGACAGCCAAGAGTGTATTGGACAGAGTTGGATCCTCTGAACATGGCTGGGAGACCAGCTACACACCAACCGCTCCCAGGGCACCTTCTGAAGGAGGAAAGGTGTCCTGTGCTCAGGGGGTGCATCGAGCAGGACGGTCCTCGCGTGCCACCCAGTGCATCCCACAGCTGTGGGAAGCAGATGCCCAGCAGAACACCTAGAGGTTACCACGGGCAGATGTGAGAGACTGAAGTCTACAGAATCACATGGGGTTGGAAGGGACCTCTGGAGATCATCTCCTCCAACCCCCTGCCAGAGCACGTCCACCCAGAGCAGGTCCCACAGGAATGTCCCTAGGTGGGTTTTCAATGCCTCCAGAGAAGGAGACTCCACCACCTCTCTGGGCAGCCTCTGCCAGGGCTCTGCCACCCTCAAAGTGAAGAAGTTCCTCCTCATGTTTAGGTGGAACTTCTTATACTCAAGTTTGTGCCCATTTCCTCTTGTCCTGTCCCTGGGCACCACTGAAAAAGGACCAGCTCCATCCTCCTGACACCCACCCTTGAAGTATTTATAAGCATCTGATCTCCCCTCAGCCTTCTCTTCTCCAGACTAAAAAGACCCAGGTCCTACACAGGGATCCTCTCGCACAACACCAAGGCCACCCCACAAACAGCCTCGCCTGTGTGACGGGCGACACTCTCCAAAGGAGAAAACCCCCTGCGGCACACACTGCTCGGATTTGCACACCCCAAACCCTCAGCGTCCAACCAGGGCCAGCTGGAAACCCTCCCGAGCGGGCACAGAGCCGTCCGGCGGAGGCAAAGCCCCGGTGCTTCCCTCAGAGCGGGGCTCCACAGCCGTGTCCGGTGGCCGGGCTCCGCCGGCATCCCTGAACAGGACAGACGCCTTGCTAATGGGGGTAGCGCTGCCGCCTTCTCCCGCCGCCTCCCCAGCTTTCTGCCGCCGACCCTCTGCTCGGGGCCGAGAGAATCCGGCCCCGGCCCCGCCGCCGGGACGGACGGGCCCAAGGCCGGGGTTCCCGTCCCGCTTCCCGCCGGGAGAGCTCGGGCCGGGCGCCCACTGCCCTCGCTGGCTCTGCCCGCTGCCCGCCGCTGGGGAGAGGAAACCCCTCAAACCCTCCAAAAAAAAACCGCTCCAAAAAGCCTCTTGGAAAAAGCCAAGCGAGCGGCTCCGCCGACACCGAGCGCAGCGGCCCAGCGTCCCCCTCAAGCGGGGCCCGGCCGCGGGGCCGCGGGGCTCTGCGGCCTCCCCGCCCGCCCCCGGGCCTCC